AAAACAATACCTATAGAAAATTTTGATGCATCTATTTTTATAAAGAATGCCTTCAAAAAATTGATATGATACAAGATTGATATAGAAATAAATGTTGTCTTTAAGGCTTCAAAAGTTGCTTCAGCTTCTTTACTCCATTCAAGTTTGAATTTACATATTGGACATAAAAGAGGAGCTAGAACTTGAAAAAAAAATCTTAATGAAGATTTAATAGTAATTAATAAATCTTAAAAAACATTGCACATCTCTGACTGTTTTTTATATCTTTTAATCTATGATAGTTTAGACCTTTTTAGGATCAATCATGAGACCATTGTTTGAAATGATATATCCTAAGAAGTCAACTTGAGTAGTATGAAATATACACTTTTCCATCTTAGCATATAATCCTACATCTTTTAGTTCTTATAATAGACAACAAATATAATTCTTTTATTTTTTTATATTTTTAGAATAAATTAAGATGTTTTTTAAATAATAAACTATAAAATTATCAAGAAATTTATAAAAAATATTATTAATTAGATATTGAAAAATAGTTGGAACATTTGTAAGTCCAAAAGGCATAAATTTTTATTTGAAATACCCATATTTAATTTAAAATATAATTTTTTTATTTACCTCCATCTTCAATGCATATTAGATTTTATGCTCTATGTATATCTATTTAATTTAGATCTTTGTTTGATTTAGTTGATCAAAAAGTCTTGAAATAAAAAATAAATGATACCTAATCTTGATAGTAATTTTGTTGAATCCTTAATAGTCTACACATATCTACAAAGATTTATCTTTTTTCTTTACAAATAAGATGGAAGTCCTAATTGGAGATTTAGAATGGCATATGAAATTCTTAGTCAAATTTTCATCAATGTATTCCTTAAATGTAGCCAATTAATTTTGTGATAAGCTATAGATTGATGTGAATGGTATTTGAGTTCTTTCTTGAAGATCAATGAAACAATCATAAGGATGATTCTTTGAAAGAATATTTACATTCTTTTTTTCAAAAACATCTTGATAATCTTAGAATTGTCTTAGAATGCCATTTGAATTTTTTTTTTCTATCAACAATAGATGTGGTATATATAATAAAAGTTGAGCTTTTTTTTATAGTATATATAAATATTTTTGCACATATAAATAATGGTTTAGATGTATTGGTCTTATGGATTTCTATTTGCTTAGCAAAATCTTGAACTAAATTATGGAAAAAATTGACGTTATAAAAAATCCAATTTATCTAAAAATTATATCTTTTTAATCACAATAATCCTAAAGTACTTGGATTAAAAGGAGATTTAATCATATTAAATATTACAAAACTATTGTGACTACTAGTTGCTACTTTTAAATAAATAGTTTCATGTGTAACATCTCTAAAAGACAATAAAAAATCATCTATTACTTCTACATGCACAAATTTTATTTTCTTAACTAAAGATATATCTTATTTTTTGACAAAGTCTTTATCTATAAAATAGATTGAAGCTCGTGAATCTAATAAGATTAAGATTTTATAATTTTTTGGTTCTAAAAATATTCTATTATAAAACAAGATGAAGGATTTGAGGAGAAAATATTACCTTCACTAGGAGTTATTTAAGATTTCCACCACACGGTTTCTATTATAACTAGAAAAATTTATTTTTCAATACATTATCTTCTTTGGCAACCATACTTCTTATTTTGTGATTGTGTTTTTTCTTTAAATAATATTAAGTAGTATACTTGGATTCTCTATAATATAGGCATAAACCTTCTTGATGACGATGAATCTTTTTTTGCTCAATAAGAGATTTTAAAACATAACATGTCAATTTGTATAGGCTTTAACTTGAATAAGTAAGCTTCTAAAAACTTAAAAGATGTTGCTATAGCTTGATTTGTACTTCTCTAACAAAATCTTTCTTCTTGGCATCTTTTAAAGAGTTGATTGATATATGTAATGGCTTAAGCAATAAATTGCTTTGGTAAATTTGTTTTGACATTATCAACAATAAATCTTAAACATTGTCTTTTAATCCATATTAAAACTAATTAATAAGGGTTTTATCATTTCAATCTATATAGAAAATATGATTTTGGAATTGAGCAACATATGTGGTAGCTGAATACAATCCTTATTGTAGCAATATGAACTTACTCTCTACTATCTTTTTTTGATCATTTTTTTCATATATAGCCATAAATTCTTCTAAAAATGAATTAAAATCATAGAATAATTATGAATATTTTTCTATCAGAGGTACAAATCAAGAGAGAGTACTTTTCATTAGAAATGCACTTACAAAATTAACTTATATAAATCCATTAGAGTATTGAAAAGGATGCAACCTAAAATAAAGCTTAATTTGTTATAGAAATATTTGAAATTTTGATCTTGTTCTATCAAACTTCTCAGGCATACTAATCCTTGCCTCTCTTGTGCTTATAAGAGACTTCGTAAATTTGGTTGTGAGGTTGATTTACTTACTTTTTTTTAACTACATAACTTCTTAATATAGACTTTGGACTTCTTCTATATATATAGGAATATTATTTCCATAATTTGAAGGTAATAGTTTACAAACTTTAAAACATAATAATAGAAGTAGAATAATCCACTTACTTTTAAAAAAAGATAAGAACAATAAATTAATACTCTTATCAAACTTTCAAGAATATGAATCTCAAAGAAAGAAATCCTCAATATATTCTTGTATGACTTTAAAAGATTAAAAAATCATTTAAAGATTGTAATATATTGAATTAGAATAGCTATTGCCAAAGACAAGAAGATTAGATAGTCTTGAAATAAGATTAAAGATTCAAAAGGCATCGACAAGAGTAAAGAAGGCTTCACTTTTGTCTCCATATATACTCTCGAAGTAAGAGCTATGTAGCAATATTCTATAGGACTTCCAACACATGTTGACTTTACTATACACATGTCTAAACTTGTAAGCTAAGTTATCTATATATGTGCCACATAATTAGCTTATTTTACAAGCTACTAATACATATGACATGTGGCTAATTTATTGACCAAGTTTCTAACTTGCCAATTAACTACAAATATATATAAAGTCAAAGTAATGTCTATAAAGCTTCTAAGAAGCTTTTCTAGAAGATATTATAAAATTAATCTATTTTTATTTATTTCTATTTAATCTTATAGGTAATTATTGGAATAAATATATATGTCTATGATACACTGACATACATATTTTATCTAATTAAGAAGAATTAGGTTAAACGTAAATATAGGTAAATTTCATATTATCTTGTGGCAAAAGCTTTATAAACAAGTAATTGACTTTAGATGTGTTTGTAGTTGATTATTAGACTAGAAACTTAGCCAAGAAGTTAACCATGTATTGCATGTGGATGTAGTTTGTAGAATAAGCTAAATATGTGGCTCATATATAAAAAACTTATCTTATAAATTACATATGTGTCTTACAAGTTAAAGACATGTGAGAGGTTCTATAGAATATTGCCACATATCTCTTAACTAGATAGTATATATAGAGACAAAAGTGAAGTTTTCTTCATTCTTATCAACGCTTTTTTAGTTCTTAGACTTGTTTTAAGATTTTCTAATCTTCTTGTCTTTGACATTAATCATTCTAATTTCAATAAAATATTAATTTTGAGTAAATATCTACTCTTTAGTGAGTAAAATAAGAATATATTGAATTTTTGGTTCTTTGAAATTTATGTCTTTGATACTAGATGAATAATTTAAATATAATAGATAACTTATTTTTAATTTAATTTAATTTATTTTATTTTAATTCATATATTTTTAATATATTTTATTTTAAAATCTAAATATGTTTTTATATTGATTAAATATTTTATATATTTTATTATAAAAATAATTAAGTAAAATTAAAATAATCCATTTATTTTTGAACTTGAAATATAATAAGAAGCATTTGTATGAATGGAATTAATTAAACTAATTTAATAGGTGTTATTTAAAAAAAATTGTATATAATAATATTAATTATAATAATAAGACAAAGATAAATTTTTAATGGTCTTATAATAATCAATTTTTTTTTATAAATTATTTAATTTATTTTTTACAATATGAATATTTTAAAAGAATGATTCTAAAATACTTTAAATCATTTTAAATATACATAATTCATAAAATTTTGATTTTTTTAATAAATTTAATAAATCAAGTTTATTGATTATATATAATTGATTATAATTAAGTTAGAAGAATGTTAAATTAATCCAAGTAGTAGTTAAATCAATCCATCCATCAAAACCATCATTATACTGCTCCATCTCCTGTCTTAATGCTCATGTTTTTATGTTCTCATTCCTAGCCCTTGTCTTTCAATCTTAATCCTAACATGCATTCTTTGTCTTGATCCTATCATCCTTTGTTCTCATTTGTAGCATTTGTCCCTCATTCCATTATTTGTATACATTTATACAGATAAGACATAAATATAATTAAAGATCTTGCAAATGTTGTTTGATTTATTTATTTTTATATTTCTTTGTGAACTGAAAACATTGTCAATTATTGACCCAAGCATTTTTTTTATTTCTATTTTTTATAATTTAAACTTTACATTAAAAAACATTTCAAATAACACATTATCTATAGGAAAGCTTCCAGAAATGAGGATGTTTTCCACAAAGTTATCACACATATTCGTCACACTTTTTTCAATCCAAATAGTCAACACAAGCCTCAGTTACATTTCTTCTCCTAGTGTAAGAGAAGGTTCACATCAAAGTTTAAGACATCAAATGAAACCACAAACTTCATAATATGTCCCAAAAATATATTCAGTAGGATGAGGCATAATTTCACAATGTATGTAAAAAAATTAACAACAAAATGGTTGTAAGCAGAGTTCATGATCTCACTCGGTGACACCCACATGGAATAGAATATTATGGGAGCAGCGGAAGGAGGAGGAGGAGGAAGAAGAAGATAAGGAAAAACTCATGGCAGGAGGAGCAGGAAGATGGAAACGCTGTTGCGGATGGATCGAAGATGATGATGATGTTGTACCCAACTCGGCAGATTCCAGTATCGAAGTCACAGTTGTGCGCGCGCGGGAGCCGAGAATCTGGTCAGCACCGAAGTGGGTCCACGAAGTCCATTGCCTGAAGACGAAGGAATAGGAGCAGTAGCAGAAGCTGCATTATCAGTGGGCGTTGGAAGCGAGAGAGTCCTGTTGTTAGGAGACGATGAGTGTGACGCGCACCTGCTTCCTGCTGGATACCAAATCGCCTGCTTTACTTGGGTCTCTGCACGCTGCCTGCAGTCGTCGATTGTTCTCCCCTGTAAGTCTTGATGTGATTGGTTTGTGGCGATGAGGTTTTGTTGATGATGTGTTGGAATCGATCCCCAATTCAGCTGTGGAGGGATTTTTTTTTTTTGTTATAATTATGGGTGTGAGTGTTTGATGTCCTGTTCACCGTGCGGGATTTTTGTTGTTTCAGACGAGAGTTAGGGTTCAAGCTGCCCCGACTAGAGTAGTGCGAATGGAGGCCAAGGCTTCTGCTAGAATCGGAGATCTGGGCGTCCGCCAAGGGTTTGTTGATTCTGTGAGTCGTTCTTTTATGCAATGGAGATTTGTTCATTGATGAGCATTGTTGCAATCCGGTGTCCTTATGCTGACATTGTTTTGGAATTGCTGAACTGTAGCCCATTCTTAGTTCCTGCTAGGAATTCAAACGATTTCGATTAGGGGTTCAGTATTGGCTGGGTTGTCCCGTGCAGCTGGACTCGTAAAGTCTTTCTCTATTTCTTTTGAAATCTCCCTCAGGCATTTCTACTCTACTTTAACCCTGGTTTTGCCATGTGGACTGTAGGTTGGAAACACTCCTCTGATTCGCCTCCATGCAGCTTCGCAAGCAACTGGTTGCGAGATATATGGCAAGGTATGTAAATTTGGCTTGCTAGGCATGCATGATGTCGTCTTCAGTAATGACGGTCTTTGGAAAGCGTAGAAAATCTTCTCTTGAATCTTTCTTTTCTTTAGATTATTGTGGGCTATTACTGACAGGATTTGTGCGGTGGCAGGCAGAGTTTTTGAATCCTGGAGGGTCAGTGAAGGACCGAGCAGCTCTTTATATTGTTAAGGTAAAATTCATTCTACATGTTGCTGTTTCTAGATTCATTAGCGCTTCTTGATTTTTAATTTTTAGGCTTTTTTTGTGCAACCTTATTTTCCGTTAGTGAGCAATATTAGGAGTCTGCAAACGAAATGCTGGCATGCCAGAGACATAAGCTCTTTCTTGATCTATTGAACTAACAGAAAATTACCTTTCCATAGGATGCTGAAGAGAAAGGACTGCTGAAACCTGGAGGCGTGATCGTCGAAGGCACAGCTGGGAATACAGGAATCGGTTTAGCACTGGTTGCCAATGCCAGAGGTTACAAGACTGTCATAGTCATCCCCAAGACGCAGAGTCAGGTATGTACGAATGTTTTGCCTCTATTTCATCATCTTGCCATGATGCAAATCAGATGTTTCCTAGTACTTGCTATGATAATAATGGGGATTCAAACGTTTGAATCCCCATTATTATCATAGACCATTTAAGGTCTGAAACTTTACATGCTCTAGCATTCTCCAATCTTTTGTGACTTCTTGTGAGAATATACTCTTGAATGTAAGGGTTATAGTTTAGGATTTTGGGTTTAGAGGTTCTTACCTACAATTGGTATGTTTTCACGGCTACAGCACAGCATTGTGATGTCATTTTATGTTGCAGGAGAAGAAGGACATGCTCCGACTCGCAGGTGCAACACTCGTTGAGGTAAGGCTTTTCTTTTAGTCTATCCCTGCTCAGTTTTTGGAGGATGGATCGAAAATTATAGTGTAGGCTTCAGTTTACAGTTCTTGATTTGTTGGATCCATTCATCGTTGTGAGCTGTGTATACCCTAGTTGAAATCTAAACCTTGGCACCCCAGATATACTTGAAAATCTACTGCAGGCACCTGATTTACGTGTATGGATTGCTTTAACAGGTGCCGGCTGTCCCTTACAAGAACCCCAACAATTATGTCAAGTATTCTGGACGACTCGCCGAAGAAATTGCTAGAGTTAGTCTTTCAGAATCCTCCAAAATATGTTGCTATGTTTGTTGCTACGGATCACAAGTTTCATTGATTTAGAACATGGACATGGGTTTTTGTGTTTTTTTTTTTTTTTTGTAACCTTTCTTACACGTCTTTGCTAACTGCAGACTAATCCTAATGGTGCAATCTGGGGTAATCAGGTACCTTCCCTATTTTGCTGGGTTTATTCCTTTTGGATTTTCCGCAATTTTCATCATCCGCCTGACTACAGATTTCTATTGTGAGCCGTGCTTTTTTCTTTCTTTGCATTTCATGGTTTAGTTTGTTCAAGTTTTGAGGTGCATACATAGCTTGAGATTGTGCTGGCTACATGTAATGCATTCTTTGAGTAATGTATCTTCTGTGCAGTTCGACAATGTCGCCAATCGGCAAGCCCACTATGAGACCACTGGTACCGTCATCTTTCAGAATCTCACATCCTAGGTGCTCGGTTTCCGTTGTGTTGCTAATCAGTGATAGATTCAGCCTGCTCGATTTGTGGATTCATTCAGAGGTTGCTGCATATTGCGTCTTCCCGAGCCTTTCTTACCATCTAATTCTGTTTTATTATTTTATTATTTTTTTCGTCGATGTCTTTGATGGTGTTTAGTATCACTCTTTGATGTTCTATTGATTGATCAGGCCCAGAGATCTGGAATCAGACTGAAGGCAAAGTTGATGGATTTATTTGTGCTATTGGCACTGGTGGAACTGTTGCTGGAGTAGGCAAGGTGAAGCGAGGGATCGATTGTGCTGTCAACTTTCTGGATAACATTTTATTTGATCTGTCACAAGCAATTCCGCTGTAATGTGTTGTGTGTATGTTAGTTACTGAGATAAATTTGTGGTAGCACATCTCGGATGTATGTGATGTGGGTGGTAGTTCCAGACCAGATATTAAACTTTAGGAACTGTTGTTTCTTGAATTTATATTGTTGAGTAATTGATTTATTAGTGGTGTGCAGTACTTGAAGGAGAAAAACCCCAACATAAAAATTGGTGTAGCAGATCCAATGGGAGCTTGCATGTACAATTTCTATGAAAAAGAAGTGCTTGAATCCTCCGGGACCTCGGTATGCCCAAGTTCTGCTGCTTAATTTCTTCTTTTGTGATTTTTTCTACTGCTTTTCTCAAATATAATCATGGGATACTTCTTTATGATTTTGGCTTACGTTCTCTCACAGAAACCAATGAGAAAATGAAAAAATGTACCCATTATCATTAGCTATAACTCTGTTGTGTAGATCTCCGAGGGCATTGGACAAGGCCGAGTTACTGGCAACTTGGAAGGCTGGGGACTTCCAGAGAGAGATGGGGGTTGCATTGATTTCTGGTGCCAGGTATGGCTTATTCTAAATCAAACATTTTTCTTCTCCTTCAATTTCACCTCCATAAATGATTTGCTTTCAGGATGCTCGATTGCTACATAGATATTTACAAAACAACGTTATTTTGGTGACGCAGGTTACTGATGAAGAGGCTTTGCCACTCATCTACGATCTGCTCAAGCAAGAAGGCTTCTGCATGGGCGGTTCAACAGCCATCAATATTGGTGGTATGCAATTCAAATCTGGTTGTGTAGATTTAATTTCTAGGATAGTTGTGCACATCTCAATAAACATCAGTAACCTGCGTTTGAAATAATACACATAGCTTTTTGGTTACATTCGACTAGTTTTGTCCAGTCATAAATTAATGTGTACATGTCTGCCCATTTGTGTTTCAGGGGCAATCAAACTGGCCAAGCAGCTGGGTCCCGGTCACACTATTGTGACCATTCTTTGCGATCTTGGAACGAGGTACCAAAGTAAGATATTCAACGTTGATTTTCTCAAGTCAAAAGGACTACCATTTCCAGAATGGTTGGACCCCGCTAATCAAGACACCAGCATACCCGAGGTTTTCGAGCAGGTCGAGTGATGTCCTCAGATTGAACCCTTTTCACTGTGGTTTATCTTGTATCGGGTTTTGTACTAGATATACGTGATTATGCTTTAGAGTGTCGATGATTGAATAGAGGGACTTCACTGTGCTGATCTATCGACTCTAAACCTTCACTTGTGAATGTTGCGGGCCACCTTCGCCACACTTGTTTTGGTTGATCTCTCAACGTCATTGTTTTCCAATAGTATACAAAGTGTGTTCCAAATTTCTAGAAGTTGTTGATTAAAGCGACGGCAGTTTATTGAGCAGCAATGCAAAGTGAACACTGTCTGTGAAATGTTGTCACAGTTGAGGAGTTGGAGTCGAAGTTGAGACTTCGTTTTCTGGAATGACATTATGTGAATGATAGGCATTGATATTCATGGCTACCACTTTTAACTTTTAACAAAACCAGCAGGTGAGTTAGTTCTTAGAATATCCACTGGGTTCTCTTTAACCCAGAAACTTCCAGGGAATTCAAAGTCAATGAAACTGTAGCAAATTTTTAGTAATGTTTATCTTTATTCTTTTTCAAACCTCAAATCTTCGATACATTTATTAAAAACACTGATTCAACATTGTTTTGTTGAATTGAACTGTATCTGGCTAAAACTGAAGAGGTATTCGTACAATTAAAGCATTCACCAGCGTATATAGTTGATGAACTGCGTGGGTTGGTGTTGAGAAAATGACTAGTCTAATGACATTGTGAAATCTTGTTTTTTCAAGGTTGTCTTTACAGTAATTCAAATCAACTGTAACAAGTCAAAATTCTGAAACATGATTGAATTTGAAAACGTTTACACATTTCAATTAATCGTATTGGAACGGTGGGCAGGGTAGTGGGTTGATTATTACCGAGTGTGATGTTGTACATGTCATTTACCAAAAATCCAACACCCACAATTTGCTATTTGTATACTTTTACCGACACACACGCACATATATGCATATATATATTTATATATATCACTCAAAATCTTCACGTTTTTTTACATTCAAGAAGTGAGGATGTAAACTATTTTCTACAAAATCACGAGGGCAAATAACTAGGTTAATCTTGGATTAGAGGAACGAAGGTACCAGCCTAATCCAGGTTTGGCTGGGGCACCGACGAATGAAGAAAACCGACTGCGAACGAATGAGGGCATTCGTTGGGGGATAGCGGAGCATGTGCAGGCAGACCCTCGTGGAGACGGAGAGGCAGGGCGGTCGAGAGAGTGAAGAGCATTAGAGCGCGAGGAGCGCGAGGGAAAAGGGCGAGAGACGATCCATGCTTTGCAAGTCCAACAACGTCGGTCGGGGTAGGGAAGGATGGAGGGAGATGGCGATGGCGTCGCCAACACCGGCACCAACAAGGAGCCACCGCTAATGCCTGGCTCCGCGGTGGTTGAAAACGAAGTTGCGGGGGCTGGTAATGCTCGGCCTCAGTCGACAGTGGCCGGGTTGGCCAAGGAGGCAGCGCAGCTCTTCCACGCGCGCTCCTACCAGGGATGTTTGCTTATCCTGCACCAGCTACAGCTGCACAACGATGAGGATCCCAAGGTAGGTCAGTCTTCTTGAGTCTTGATTTTCTGGGTTGAGGGTAAATGGATCCGGACATGGTTATGGGCCGTGGTTGGTGGTGCATATCATCGCTGCAGGAGGTGTGGTAATGGAACACGTTGTGGAGTTTTAGGCTTTTGTGGTTAGAAAGTTTTGGAACTGATCACTGGAATCGATTTCGTTTGTTTCGGTGAAGGTTAGGTCAAGCTGAAGTGATTTAGGGTTTATTCTAGAGAGGATGTGGTACATTGAGTTGCCAGTTGCAAACCTGAAACGTTTGTATTCCGTCATAATGTAATTTAGGTTTTTGAGCATATTTTATGGGTTTTGTGGGCCTACTAGAAACCTGACCCACTCTTGATGAGTTAGAGTCAACGAGTTCTGCAGCTTCAATCGTTAAGTTTATCAAGTCCGTAAGTCTTAAATTTTTGTTATGACTGCAGTTGCTATAGCTGAGATATTTTTGAGATTAATTTTCCGGCCATGCTTTTGCCCTAACAGCCAACGTAGACGATCTTGTTGATAATCGTTTGCGCCTTCACCATATATCTAATGATTGCTACCCTTGATCGTAGTCTAGTTACATATTCCTATTCGAGAGGATATTGAAGACTTTGTGGATTTGTAAGAGCCTAAGGCACAAGTTCCATACTGCACGTTGCCTCCCCTGCCCAGGACGGAAGAACATGGGAGTTCACTTTCTAAGTTCTGCTCCATGTGCTCCTCAATATTATCACCTACTGCTGTTAATGTTTCGTGAATCTATCACTCGAAGTTCCAAAAAGCAGAAAATTTTGATTATTTTATTCAGGTATATTAGTGCTGTCGTGCTTTTCAGTATTCTAAAGATAATTCTGCTCTGTAATGGCTGTGCAGGTGAGACATAATATTGCTGTTGCAGAGTACTACCGGGATGGATGTACGAACCCTCAGAAGCTGCTGGAGGTGCTCTCTCAAGTGAAGGTGCGTGAGTACATCTTAGGAGGCATTTTGATTGTGGTCAGAGTGCAGCAGGAGCATTTCCTTCTTCTGATTGTGTAATAGCGTCCACAATTATTCAGTAAATAGCGTTGTGCTCCTCATTTCTTTTAAAACCATGTGTTCAATGGATGTTGATATGTATTGATCACACTTAGATCCAGTTGGAGGATACCTGTGTATAGATCCGTTGTGATCATCTGGATTATTGAGGTGTATCTGATGGTTTCTTTAGTTTTTATGGGCAGGCTCGTAATGAAGAGCTAGCTCGGGCTGCAGAAGAGCAGCAGGAAGGAAGTAGCTCTGCTTCAACTTCTGGAAACAACAACGGTAGTGGTGGCAATGGGGGTCCCAATGCTACCCGGACGAATAGCGCGGATGTCATTGCCTACATGGATGACTATGATACATCGATCCCCAATTTGAATATTGTACGTAGTCAATGCCTATCCAATTTGTAGTCAGTTATGAGTACCAATTTGTGGTACTCCAGATGATGCTGCTCAATTGTCTCTCTGGGGAGCTTGATCTTAGAAGTATGTTTAGGCTGGCTCCTCCATTTTAGGTGTGTCTTTTGGGATTTATGGCTTTGAACTGGCTTTCCTCTCTTAAATTAGGACTCTGCTGCTTGTTTCCAATGATTGTGCGTTGTCTAGCATCGTCAAGGTAGAAATTTATTTTTCGGCGATTTGCGTATGAGTTCAGGCTATTACGATGTACCACCTACAAAGATATGCTGCAGCAATGTCTATTTTGGGGCCTCTTTATCGCAACATTGAACCGATCGATGAGGTACCTCATTTACTTCCGAGCTCACTCTTAAAGATTTACATCATGTCTTTGTGAGCTACTGCTGTTCCCAACTTAAGCAGGAGGTTTTTCGAATGACAGGTTATAGAATCCCAAATCCTTCGGAACAACAAGGTTTTGGACCCAATGATTGCAGATGATATGTAACAGCTCTCGTTGATCTGAATATAAGAATATGTGTGTATTTACAGACAGCTGCATTGCGGGTGTGCCTTTTAATTCTGGATATCACACTTGCTTCTGGTCAGCCTGGGAAAGCAGCGGTGAGTTGTTAACATTTTTTACTTTATTGATTTGATAACTTATCCAGCATCTTAAGGCTGGCAGTTATTATCAATAATGGCAATATCTCCTGTTGTTATTATTATTATTATGAATAGAAGATGTAGGTCTTTTTGACGCCATCGACTTGTTCGATTTCAGGAAGTTTTGCAGTATATGGAAAAGGCTTTCGGGTACTTGTTACCTCCTGCGGAGACTTCTAATGCAGTACCTGCTGTTCCGAGTTCCTCACCTTCTGAGACCGAGTCACTTACAACCAACGCCGAACAAGTTCTTGCGAGGACTTCGTCCGATGAAGGCATAGAGGAGGACAATGTTACTCTCGGATCCCTAGAGATAGATTCCAGCCAAACTCTTGGTAGTAAAACAACAACTACGCCCCTGGTAGCAGCACGGGAGAAACCCATGCCACCGGTGGATGTAAAATTGTTGCTACATCTGTACAGAGTTCGCTTGTTTCTCTCTGCACGAAACCTGAAAGCTTCGAAAAGAGAGATCAAATCTGCTCTGAACATTTCCCGAGAAAATTTGACCGCGTTGCTCCTCAAGGCACAACTTGAGTACTCTCGTGGAAACTACCGAAAAGCCATAAAGCAGTTGACTATGTGCATAGGGCGAGCTGATCCAAGTATGAGAGGGATGTTTCTTTCCAACCTTGGGTGTATTCATCATCGACTAAGAAAAGACCAAACTGCTACTCTTTATTTCCGAGAGGCGCTTCGAGCCTGTGCAGCATCAGATCGCAATTATTCTCTTTCCTCGACAGCTTTTTCGCAAGACAGAACACTACCTATCGTCTACAACGCAGGATTGCAGCAGCTTTCATGCGGGAATCCTGTATTGGCTTCTCGTTGTTTCCAGGTGTGTAAAACATGTGATTGTATCATCAACCTTGAATTCTAATTTTGATTTGCGCTTTTTTGTTATAATTGTCATCTACATTCAAATTACGAGACTCTTATTCTGTAGCAATATTACTCTATGCGAGTCCATGCCTACAATATGCTTACTAAATTTCTGTCCATCCAGGAAGCTGCTGCTCTCTACTACAATCGACCCTTGCTATGGCTGCGATTGGCTGAGTGTTGTATTACTGCTCTCGAGAAGGGTCTTTTAGAAAATACCACACCGAAAAGAGAAGTAAAGGTGACGGTTTTAGGTGATGGAGCATGGCGGCGTGTGGTGCTGCCTGGTGGGAGCCTAAACCCAATAGTGACAAACGAGGTTAAGCTGAACGAGTCAGAGGAAGATGTACAGGTACCAGTCGGTAGTGAGAAGTGGTTCCTTTTTGGGAAGCCCCGCAAATTGTCCCTACCCTTCGCAATCCAGTGCCTACAGATAGCTACGTGTCTCTTTGATCGATGTGATGTAAAGGCAGCTGAAGCTGCTGCTGAAGCAGCCGTTGTAGCAGCTGAGGTGAAGGACAGCGACGACGTTCAGAGTACCAAAGGTGGCGATTTGAAGGGGGGAGGGGGCAGCCCAACTGGAGAAGCCAAGGATGTTAAAGGCCTTGTAGCTGCGGTGTCCGCTATTGAGGAACAGGAGATTCAAGAGGTGGCTGCATTACGGATGTGGGCACTGGCGGCACTCTCTTACTGTCAACTTGGAGTAGGTCATCCATTACGGGCTCTTCGGTCTGCAGAGCAGCTCTTGCGGCAGGCCTCTTGTGCGAGACCTTACATGCTCCTAGGGCATGTGTACGCAGCCGAAGCTCTTTGTCATCTGGAGAGACCTCAGGAAGCCCTGGAGCATTTATCAACGTGTTTGAATGAGGCAACTGCTGAACCTACGAACGCAGGGACCGAAGAGGAGAACCTCAAATGGAAAGGTGGAGACAATAGCGAGGCAAGTGGGGATGGTGAAGACGGTGCTACGTTCAGCGTTGGTGCTCTAGGCGATGCTGCTAGTGTTGCCAGATTGACAGGAACTAGTGCGCGAGCATCACTCTACATAAACCTTGCAGCCGTGTACGCAATGCAAGGTAACATACAGGAAGCACATCGGTTGGCTCATTCAGCGCTTGCGATAGCTCCCACTAACCCTACAGCAATGCTGGCTGCTGTGTATGTGGAGCTCAAACTGGAGCGGATGGAATCAGCGTTGGCTTTGTTGAAGCAGCACCGTCATCTGTGTGTCGTGAGCTCTTGTAAAGGGCTATCACAACACGACTGAATGATTTTACGCTAGGCTACAGTTAGATGTATCATTCATGTGCAGACATTGGCAAGCAGCTGCTAATCATCAGAATTTTGTACCATAACCTTAACTTTTTCAAGGGTTGAAGGAAGAATGTTGGAATCAGCAACTCATTTCCCCCAAAGCTGTCAACCTCTTGCGATTGGTTTTCTTATAGAATTATAGAATTTCATGTGGGTCTATCTCACCGTCTGATCTTGAAACTATTAAAATGATAACCTCTGTCTACTCTTCCTTCCTATTTCCCCACGTGCAGTTGCATGCTCATCATTATGCTACCTAAAGTGAGCTCACCTGTGTGCCTTCTTTCCTGAAAAACTTTGCAATTGTCACCAAAAGTTATTATTGGATGATTTGAACAAGGCTCATGCTACAAGCACATACCCATGATCTCTAATTGGTTGATCTATCTAGATCCTTTTTCTTTGTCCCGGTGCAAATTTCGATCTAGTTTTCCTTGTTTCAATGTCCCTATGCAAATTTTCTATCTCATTTTCAATGGTGGATCTGCACTAGTGCAAGAAAGAAAGAGAGGAGGGGACTAGGACCTATGCTGTAACAATGAAGAGAGGGAAGAGGGTATTGGAAAAAGGGATTTGGAGCAGCCAATCAAAGGCCTTGGGTGTGTATAGACATAATAGGTGTGTGTAAAGGAATTTAGGTGTGCTTTTAGCTTGAGCTTGTGAACAAATCCACTTATTTTCGAGTAGACTTCTAAACTATCAACCTGCCACAAAGATTCACAATCAATAAACTCAAGTTTTTAATAATATCTTCTCACATCAACACTTATTGAACAATTTACTATGATTTTTGTATTTTTGTTAATGTGTTTGTTGTAGGAAATTGTTACATCATCAATACTTATTGACTAGTTGATCAATTTATAGTGGTTTATGTGTTTTTACAAATGTGTTTGTTTTAGAAAGTTCTTGCTACTTGCATAAGGATTTCGAACTTGCAAGCCAAGCTTCAGTTCATGTGATTATTTTCTTTTTATATGTACTTATGGATACATAATACCAAATATTTTACGATTGATCATTATTTATCTTAACAATTTGAATGATATACCAATTTAATTTTACATTTTATGGATACTTGAAATAAATTTTCTAATTTAGAATTTAAGAGAACACAATTTCTTTAGCAATCTTGCATATTTGGTGGATCACGTGACAATTAATTAATCATATTAAATTGCAAAACAAATCTTTAATTTAAAATGGATATTTTTAATACATTTCAATAACACCATAAACTATAAATAATCTGTTGGTCATCTAAATCTACATTCTATTCACTACTATCACATCATGAATAAGAAATGATAATACTAACTTTTTGCTTTGCAATTTTGAATCAAAATATGTCAAGTTTGTCACACAACTATCACAAATAAATAAATTTTTTAGTAGAGAAAATCAAAACACCATCTGTTATTAAATTTAGAAAAAATACCATATGTATTCCTAAAATATGTTGAAATATCAAAAATACCCCTGTATTGTTAAAAATAACAAATATACTTCTCAGTTTTGTGATAATTGTAAGACTACCCTTAAACTTGATAAAGTATAACTATTTCCATTTTAGGTGAATAAGGGGCCTAACCAAGTGCCTTCTTTGCACAAGTCGGGCCCCCCTGAACCGGAGGCGGGTGATGCGTCCTCCAGTCTTCCGAGATATGCACGGCTGCATGCAACGTACACCCTCGACCTTTTAACAAAATTTGTCAAAAATTGAAATCCACACACCTCCAATCCCGCAAATATCCTCCTTGTGAACTCCAGCTACATGCCACCACCCAGCACCACATTGCGCGGAACTAGGAGGACAAATCCCAAGAAAATAGTCCTAGCTATAAACGGGACGCCTCATCAATCTCTTGCTTTCAGAGAAGCCATAGATTCCGACTCCACACAGGGTTACTGTAGCACGTAACAATCCGACCACGAGATCCTCGACGACGACCCCAGTCGAGGGAGACAAGGAATGTTCATGGCGTCGTCTTCTACGTGGCGTTCAGTTGGACATTGTTGCAGTCTGCGGTGCCTGTTCTCATCATGCACAACTCAATTAATTGAATTTCACAGGCGGTTCACGAACATCAGTAATAATGCAAAAACAAGTCTGCGGGGACAGGCATAAACTCTCAGAGGACCCAGAAGTACTGCAGGTCTCTTATTGAATAAACACACACCTTAATGCAACGACGTTGAGATCAACAAGAGATACGGGAAAGGATTGGAAATCACTGATTTATAACTAGATTGTAGGATATAGATTGCAAGCCGTTTTGAGCACAGTGTGACTTGGAGATGGTAAGAACAAAATTCAGAGTATTGATCGAAGCAACAGATGGCCACTTGCGGGAGTAATCTGAAAGGCGTAGAGTACCACCAGAAGTACCTCGGAGTGCTGCAAAGAATGAGCCGCATCACGGTACGAACAAACCTCGTAACCGTTAAGTAAACAACAGAGTAACGGCGCTCCTGAAGACCACATAAATTGCTCACGCAAACTTTCATTGTGTCCATTTAGATACTTCAGCCACTTCTGCAATCAGTGGTATGCTCGGCTATCTTAACATACTAAAGTTGCCTGTTCCATGTGCGCGTACTTGACGCAGAACTTGATGGCAGTACTGGAGGCATCGCAATGCAGGCTAAGATTGTGCAATAAATCCGAAATAGTATTCAAGTAAACATGAATACCAGGACACGTCGGCAAAAAAAACTGGAGTTTCAGGTTGTTCTCAACGGTCAGCTGATGGTCAGTCGACAAGTAGAGATTTTTAATTGCGGTTGGCAAGTCCCACTTTCAATCACAGGGTGTTAAAGCACCAAGTTTGTTCATTACAGTTTGTATCATTGAGTCCCAAGCGAACTCCATTTCATGATGTAATCTTCAAGACTTGAGCGTCAAGGCAGTAGCGTTGAACTAAGGTCATTTCTGGAAAAATTTATCACCCATCCCACGATATACAGCGGGAGTTGATTTTGTGAATGGTCGATCGATTCTTTAATGTTAGTCCTCAAGACCTCTGAAGCCAACAATCTCCAGAAAGAGAAGCACTCCTAGACTTTCAAGACTTGCTAGAATTTGTTCACACCTCAGCTGATTTCTTAAGGCATCTGAAAACATCGCCATGTTCTGAGGCATCTGAATTTATTGGCTAATGCTTGAACAGAAATAGAATGTAAAGAGCTTACAACTAGTTCCTAGGATTCCACACAAAAAATACGGTGTGAGGATGAGGATTTGTACAATGGGTGCAATATCATACGCAAGTGGTTTGGCTGTGGTCTTATGTCCGGATGAAACCATTAACGACGAGCTGACCGTTAATCACCTGAACAAGGTCACCTGCCATTGCAACTACCCTTTTGATAAAAACTTGTCCAGCACTGTAACCTTTCTCTTGCAAAATTTTGGAGCCTTAAAAATGACGATGACATTAAGACTGGGCTTCCTAAAAACACAAAACCTGCAGAAAGACAGCACTAGCCTCCGGTTAGTGGGGGCCCGACTTGTGCAATTAAGGCACTCGGTTTGGCCCCGATTCATTTAAAATGGAAATAAAGTTATAGCTTATCAAGGGTAGTTTTGCAATTATCAAGCATATAGGTGTATTCTTGACATTTCAACATATTTCAGGGGTATACATGATGTTTTTCCTTAAATTTATATGTAATTATTTTCTAAAGAAATATTATTAGAGATACAGAAGTTGCAACTGACTTAAATATATTTTATTCATATATTTTAAGAATTTAAGTAATTTACTTATAGAATTATAAAACCATGCACCTAAGTTGGTAGCAACTATTTCAATTTTCTTCAATTCAAAAAAGTATTCTACCAATTTTAAAATCCTATTAATCTAATACAAATATTTTTCTAAATTACAAATATACTCATAATATGTTATGTATGTTCTATTTATTAGATTTTTTTTTTAATACACTAGACAAATTTTCTTACTTAAAACAAGTCAAATTAATCTATTATATAATAGATTCTACTAACCTAATTAATGTTATTGAATTCTGTCATATTGAACTAGTCATATATGATGAAACAATGAAATATTATTCTTATTAATTCTAATATTTTAAAATAATATTATAATTATTTTTAAAGTAATAATATTGCAACAACCTCCTTAAGATTGAGATGCTACTCTATTATAGCCATAAGCAAAAAATCAAACTGTTTTATGAGAATAAAAAAAATAAATTAAATTCTCTTAAAGTTGTCAATTTTGATTCAAATATTTACTTAGTTGTAAGAAAATGTAAAATATATTCTATTTGTTATAGTTGTAAATGTGTGAATGTATGTATTTATTTATATATATCTATATATATATATATATAGAGAGAGAGAGAGAGAGAGAGAGAGAGAGAGAGAATCATTAAATTGACCCAAGCATTTTCAAAATTCATCTACCCATCATTATTAGTTGCAAATCAAACCATTTTTTTAATGATTTTCAACCAATGAGGATCTGACAATGAAATTTTTTTTGATGATGGTTAGGATGAGTGGATCAGTTTAGTAAGAGCTTGAGTCGATTTAACAATTTCCTAAAATTATATATATATATATATATATATATATATAACTTCATTGTGCCAATTAATTTAATACAGATTTAATATAATTTTTTTTATTACATTATTAATTTTTAGACTATGAGTAAAAATTTATTGGAAAATGATTGGATAGATTTGAATTAATACAACAACACTTCATTGAACTTATTAATTTTTAAATTACAGATATGATTGAGTTAATTAAAGAAATATTTGAGTATTTAGCTATTGAAATTGAATTTCAAGTCCAAGAAGTGTTGTCTGAGTAATTATGCTATAACATATGCACATTATGAAGATTAATCTTCAAGATTATGCATGTGAATATGTGTGTAAGTTTTTTTTAACTATTCAAAGTTATTAAGAATATTATAGATATTTTTTTAAAAAAATTAAATTAATCTTTAATTTTTTTTTTCTTATATGTTTTAGATGAAAATAATAAATCAAGTATACTAATTAATCTGCATGAATATAAAAGCAATGATTCTTCAAAGTCAAATTACAAATATATTTTTACATATGATCTTTCATGTATTATAAATTTCTTAAATTTTTGGATCATCTAATAATTATTTAATCTATTTTTTATAGCTATAAGATTTTTTTTAAAAAAAAAAATCAATTATCCAATTATACAAAAAAATACGTAATATTTTTAGTTGTTTTTCATTGTATGATTATTCTATATTTATTTACTTGAAAATTGACGTATTTACTCTCTATTTTTCTTAAGTCTTAAATAAAGCGAAATGTTTTTGGTTTTGGGATCACTTCCATATGTAATAAACTTAACAATCTTTTATTTTTAAAATTGCTAGATACTCATTCTTTTGTGCTCTGTCATTGAACTTTTCAAATTCTTGTTGTTAATATAAAGTTTTCATGTTATGCCTTGGTAATAATAGAGTTTTTGAAAGAAATACACAATATCAGTGTTACATATTTTATAATTGTATTTATAAAAGTTTAATACAAATCTTATTCTTTGTATTGATTGAACTCTTTTACTTATTCAAATATGTCATATATATAGCTTATATCACTAATATACATAATTTTTATTTATTTATTTTTATCAAATTGATATTGTCAAAAAGTACTTGTTAATAAATTTTCTATTGGTTTAATTATGTTAAAAATTTAATTTTAACTCAATAAATAAGTAAATCTTCTCCAAAAAAAAAAACATGTATTGCTTCATATATATTGCTATATACTACATAATTGTTTTTAGTACTTATCAATGATATGCATCATTTGTTGCTAATTCAAAATTCAAAGCCAACTTATAAAAGCATAGCTATCATATTTTTGCACAAGAAGTAAGCCAACCACATCAACCATGCTACCATCTTTTTTCTTGTACAATTAATGGTGACTCAAGAGAGGCACAAGATAAAAAAATCTACTTTTGTAGGTTTGAAGACAATGTTTTGGTGGATGGTAAAGTTACATTTCTAAATATAAATAGCCCAATTGAGTTATTTATTTTTTTTGTTTTTTCAAAGTTAACTTGTTATATTTTGTTCGTTTCTCTTACAGCAACTTCATTCTTTATTATTATTATTATTATTATAAATATTGTAGGATAAAATAAAACTCCGATGAAGTGTGTGTGTTTGTTCTTTTCTCATTAAGTAGATGTAGTTGTGGCCCAGTTGCGACATCATACGATCAGAGCAACAGAATCCGAGCCAGATTAAACAAATACAGGGATGGGTCATATATAGTGTAGGCCAGGGGAGAGAGGCGAAATAGAGTGGGTGCCAGGTGGACAAAGCAGCAACAGAACGCACCATTGCTGGCATCAGAAAGTGGGCCCAGCTGGAGCCGACGAGGCGGGGTCCAAAAGCACCTTCAACGACCCTTCGTCGAGCCCCCCTTCTCGCCACCTTCGGCTTTCCTACACTCGGAGTTGTAGGGACATCGTTGGCACGCCGTCAGGCCTCGGTGATGAGGAGGGAGGAGGGGCCGCCTCTCGTTGCCCACTGATTCAGTCCAAAACTTGGCATCCTCACAGTCCATTCCAGCTGTTTGCTTTGATCGCTTCTCCCTACCCCTTTGCCATTTTTGTCACTCGCCCGCTCGCTCTCGTTTCAGTTGGAAGGAATCGTGCAGTAGTAGTAGGAGAAATGGTTGCTCTTTTATTGCTGGCGCGTCCCGCTTTCGGTTTACAAAACTGTGTCGTGGGGCGAATCGTTTTCACTTCTCACAAGTCGGAATAGTTTCATGCGGATTTTGGTCGGATTCGTGTGTGTTCCACCGCAGCTGTCGGGTTGGGTTCCGCCGTTGTGTGCATTCTGTGCGCGATGGTTGATTCGTCTTGGAATGATTCACGTGCGTGCTTGAGAGAGAGTGGCGCAAATCCTCGCCTCGTTGTGTTCTCCGTGCCGGCATTGTGTTCGTAGTGCTGAGAAGTTGTAGGAATTGTGTCGAGATGTTTCCCGAAATTTTCGCTCGCGGTACTGTTGTGGTGGACTGAGAGTGCCTGAATAGTTCATCGCCGAATGCGGATTGAAAAAGAGCCTGGTGGTTGCCACGAAGCTGTATCACATTGTATGTTGCGATTGTAGAGAACTTGTGAGATTTCTCGACAAATTCTTCCATTGGGGCTTTCTATTCCCATGGTTGTTGTAATAGTTGTGGGGCTTTACTGCAATTGAATATGTAGTTGGCTTTCGGGATGTGCATCCAATTTTTGTAAGCTTGCTGTTAGATTCGGTGTCCAGCTCAAGGTGAATTTTGGAGCCACCGGAAAACTTGAACATCCAGGAAAGGCTTGAGATTTCGGGTGATGACTCGAGGTCTCTGAGGTGTCGCAGGAACTGTGCAACGATCCTGTAGCTGTATTCCTAGGGCTTTATCGCCGCCTTTGGTACGGTAGGTTACAACGACTTAGAACTCATCTCATGTAAATCTCATCGTTGTTTCGTCGATTTGTCGAAACTCTAGGCCCTACTGAGTAATCAGCTTTCACACCCTCTCTTACCGCGACGAAAGAACAGGAGTAGTTTCGAATCATGCTACAAGGATTCATAGAAAGGAACATCAATCTGCTGCACGAGTGAGTCAAATGGGTGGCAAGCTTATATCATGTTTCGGAATACCTTTGAAGAAGAATTTCAACAAAGATGGATGTGAGTGCAAAAGTTTTAGATTTTCTTCCTATGAGCTGAAACCTATGTGTTTGGTAGCTACGTGATGACTTGGAGGTCTTAAGCTGGAAACTGCTTCCACTACTGCTAAATTGTTTAGGTGTATGTAAAAGAAGCAATATCACCAACCTGACGACGTTTTTCTTTTTTCTTAGTCAAGGAACATGACGACCCCAATCCAAAGCGAGGACCAAGAGGACTACCTATAACAACTTATACCTACACATACAAGGAGCTCAAATCAGGAACCCAAAATTTTGACACAGAATGCAGAGTGCATTACGGGGAGCTTGGACTACTTTATAAGGCGTATTTATCACCCAGTGAAGTGGTCGCTGTAAAACGAGCAACACGGGAATCTCAACAAAGTCCTTCTGACTTTCGAAATGGTATGTGAACATTCTCATTCATCTTCATTCTCGGCGATGGTTTAGGTTTAGTCTAGAGACGTCATAGGGACCTCACAACCAAGATTTTGAACGAACTAACCTCTTGTTACCTCTTGAAGAGCGTTTCATCTTTACTATGTTCTGGCATCATCACATGCCTTGCTGATAATCTGACCTTGTCCAATTGCGTAGTATTCTTGGCTTGTTTTACACTTCAATAACTTTCTGATATTGATTCATTGATGCTGTGCTTCTGCAGAGATAAAATTCCTGTCTGGGCTGCACAATAAGTATATTTTGAACCTATGTGGATTTTGTGAAGAGAAAGGGGAACAAATTCTCGTTTATGAGTCCATCACCAATGGAAGCCTAGCAGATCATTTTCTAGGTGAGTGCTCCTGGCTCCTCAATCATGGAACATATCCATGAAAATCTTTCTTGAGCATTTCTAAGCTTCAATGTACTGTTAATCATGTTTTCCCCTTATTTGTTGTTTTTTTATTTTTATTTTTTTACCCTCGCCAGGAGAATCAGGGCTGTCTCTAACATGGCGTGAACGAGTACGCATTGCAATTTGTGTTGCGAAGGGTCTGACCTACCTTCACGAAGAGTGCTATCCTCCTGTCGTGCACAAGGGTGTGAAGCCGACTAACATCCTTCTGGACCATAACTTCCATGCCAAGATCGCCAATTTTGGTCCCAACGCAACACACATGCTGATGGGTGCACTCGGCACGCCTGGCTACGTCGATCCTTCTTACGTTTCCAACGCAGGGCCTGCCTGTGACATTTATAGCTTCGGAGTAGTTCTTCTCCAACTCGTGACAGGCAAGCGCGCGTGTGATAGCTTGCGAGATGAAGCAGCCTATTACATCACAGACTGGGTAAACTGAGACATTCCCACGTTGATCTTAGCCTTCGGACCTTTTACCACACACTACCTGTCAATCCATTTCACGTCACTCCATGTAAGAAATCTGCCGTTTAATCCTCATTTGTTTATCTATTTATTCATTCTTTTCTGAGCAGGTTCGGTTCAAATTAGAGTCCGGCGACTTCGACGAAACACTCGACATCAACCTTCGATCGACGGCATACAACCCCGAGATTCTGCTTCAAATGGCGCGGCTCGGCCTCCGATGCACGGACCTTGACCCGAAGAAACGACTCTCGATGAGCCAAGTGGTGCAGGAGCTGGAGCACGCACTGCAGGTAGTCGATGTGCTACTTTCCAACGCACCAACTGCGCTCACCGCGCAGGTGTGTGACGGCGGGTCCGGTTACACATGCCGATCCTCAGGCTCAGATTTCAGTCTTCCGGAACTTGGCGGTAAAGATGCACATATCAAGTTCGATGGGATGGAGTGGATCGACATCAAGGCGCTGGAAGTCCCCGACCTGAGTGATGTCTTCGAGGATCTCCCTCTCGAGACTGTCGTCACATAGCTCACCGCACAAGCAGTTGCAGCCCTAATCCCAAGCTATCTAGATCCAGATGCACATGCAGCCGAGGACACCATCTCTGATCACAGCTTGCAAGCTCCAGCAACTTTCTAGACGAGCCGATGTCGGCGCCGCCGCAGCCTAGACACCGAGATCATCGAAGCGAAGCTTCAAGCTCACCTAATTCCCCATCCCAACATTGTAATTAAAAGCATTGTTTCTTCAAAGAATTGGATGAAATGAAACTTCCCAATTTGATGATATATAATATATTCACAGTGGGTGCTTCTCGTATTCCAAGTATGGGGTACTTTGTTGCCATTCTTGTTGAAGTTTAAATTGCTCTTGGATATTTTGGATGAATTAATTATAATATAATCAATCTCCTAGAATAAAATAAATGTGTTCAATTTTATATAATTCTACAAACTGTGTGCCACCATTTTTAAAGAGATGCTACGATCTCAGTATTTTAGCTTTGTCTCAGTAAGAAGAAACAAAATAATATTTTTTTTAAACATATTATGAAGGATATTATAAATTAATTAATAGTAATAATAATCATAATTTTTTTAAACTGTAGAAATGATATTTTATGTACACATATCTTAGAAAAACTATTAAACAACCTTATAGATTTTAAATATTATCTATATTCAGAATAAGCTACACTGTTTTTTTATACGTATTTATATATATATATATATATATATTTCTGGTTGTGTATCAATATTTTAATATTAACTATTTCAAAATTTTGATGATTATGTCTACAAAGGTCTCAGCCTCAACTATCTTCTTTAATTTTTCTTAATCGGAATCTAAGAAAAATTAGTACAATAAAAAAGAGTTTATGCAATATGATAGAACAGTTTTACAAAAATGGTTGTTGCAATTCCATAAAAACAATGGACAACAAAAATTAAGGATTTTGTATTATAAATCTTATAGTGATACCTCAAGGCATTTTAAGTTTATTAAAACATTCTTTGATATGCCTTTAAAGCATTTTTTGAAACATTCTTTACTTACCAAATATATAGATTGTATTGAAAATAAATAAAATATATCATTTGCAAAGACACTTGCAAGTGGCATTGCTATTTTAGTAAGGCTAAAAAAAAATGTCATTTGAATTAATCATATTTTAATATGAAAATATTGTATAATCTTAAAAATAATGTAAAATATATCTCAAATCTTTAATAAATATAATTAAGATAGTAATTAGAGAAAGTCTTTCAAATAATTTACAAAATAGACTGTGTTATTAATTAATTTTTGTGTTAGGTATGTACCACCACAATACCTTTATTTTTATTTTTATTTTTTTGTTATTAACCTTAAACATATCAAGTATGGATTTAAGTTATATAAGCACATAGATAATATTGTATTAATAACATGTGCATTAGGTGGGTCCTAATAAAGCTTTAGATGTGTTATGCAAGGATCACATGCACATGTTTTAAATGATGTTACTTACAATACAAATGTTTTATTTTAAGGTCTATTTAGTTTAATTTTTAAAAATAACTCAAAATCATTACATGGATTGTTTAATTATAGTAGTTCAACATCTATCTTGTTGAAAACAATTGCAAAATACTTTTCTTAAACCACTTATAATTAGTGTTTTTTAAAACTTATCTTTTTCTAGTTGTGAAGCTAAGAAGAACTTCAGTAGTTTAGAATGGTGCAACACTTAGGAGTAGTGGGATTAATTTTCTAAAAAATGGTTTTAATGCTTTAAAATTTTAGTGAATTGAAACCCCACTTGGAACCAAAAAAGTATTCTTCATGCTATTTGTTACTCAGTATTTTTCAATTCCAAGCTTTATTTTATGTGTCAAAATTGCATTCAGTGAAAATTGGTATACATAGAACTTAGCACTTAAAATTGAGTTCTAAAAAGTGGATATTTTGAATGGAAAGTCAAATATTATTAGAATAAATGTAGATAGGTAACATGAGCAAGTGCTCTAAAGGACCACATCAACACTTCAACTCAAAGCTGTGTTAGGTTATTAGACTAGAGATTTGCTACTGGAAGAAATATGTTTAGTTATGATATTGAAAAAAAACTGGCTTTGAAATATCATAATAGAAGAGTTACAGGGTCCTGAATGTAGTTTTTGAATGTTTCCAACCAGTATGCCCCAATAGCACTTGCCAGAAAATAAAATAAAATAATTTATGTTCAACAGATGAGGCATACAACATGCTCATACAAGAGCATGCTTTCAAGTTGGACTCAGAAAAGTGTCAACTACCATGTTAATTAACAAAACTGACATATATGAACAATTGTGTTGTTTGAATTTTATTTGTTGAATTAATTAACATACAGAAATAACTGCTTCATTACTGATAATATTAAGTATAATTCAGTTTGGTGAACTGAACATCAATAACATGATGATCACAGCTCAATGTGACTATCACAAAAGTGCTGATGTCATATTGATCTGGTAGAAGTCCAGGCACCAACTGTCTCTCAGTTGTAGTTTTATTTCTACAACAAAAAATCAGACCTCCATAGATGGAGCCTTGTGATACATTTGGCATGATTTGAAAGAGAATCAAAAAACACTCAAAGGGTACTCTTCCTAATTTTCTACCAAAGAGTGCTGCTTAAGTCTAGCATGAGATTAAAAAAACTCACTGGTCCCAACATCAAGAATGGCTCCTTGAGGAGAATTAATAATGGCACAAAACTGCTTGATTCCAAAAGGCCCTCCCAAGTTGAAAATCATAAATGTTCCACCTTGTACAATTCATTAAATTGTTGAAAACATATAGAAAAAATATTCCTTAACAATAACAACATGGTTTACCCTTCAATGTCTATTGCTGGTATGTTGTAGGAAAACAATTTGGTCACATTGGACAATCAAGAATGATTCACTGATAATACCAACTTCAAATTGGTGGCAAACAACAATTTAACTCGTTACTGCAAATTTTAGTGTAAATGAACAGTATCAGAACATGGTTATTAAAGGCTGCTATGAAGTAGACCGTAGTAAATTTTGGCACACCTCATAATCATTTGACTTCCTTGTGTTTGACCTTGTCTTGTTAGCTAATGTCTTTACATCATTTGCAATTGTAGCCAAGCCCTTCTGCATCCTACACACCTCAAATGAAGGGAGTCAAATCACATTTACACAGCTTCACAAATCAAGGATTTCTAACCAAAGAACACCAATTGAAATAAGTTAATAATTTTCCAATAAACTAATATCATAAAAAGTTACCTTCACAATAGGGATCATCAATCCATGATCAGTCTAAACAGCAGCACTGATGTTCATGTTGTTATACTTTCTTACTAGTTTAAGTAAAAAAACAATCATTTTAGACCATGCAGAAAAGGTACATTATGTACACAAGATACATCTCTTGGGTAGTACATCATTTTGATTTTGAAGGTTTATCACTAAAAATTCAGATATCCCACCATCTTTCTAAAGGCTTGTATGTAACTGTAACCTCATTACATACCTCAAATTGCCACTTTTGAACAGTTCAACAAACAAAAATGGAGTTTGTTGTTGGTCAATTTGGAGTTCAATGAGCCAAATGGTATAATTATATAAGCCCATACTTATTGTCTAATGTATTTGTCAGTCCATGTACTATTGACTTTAGGAATCTTTTGTCAATGACAAGGCAACAACCTACACATTCAAATTGTAAGGAGAACACTATGGAAGTTTTTTGAAGACTCACCACTAATTAAGCAATAATGAATAGAAAATAAAATAAAATTGAATAGATAAAACCTTTATGATAAAGTCATTTAGTAAAAGTTTCTCTGTCGGAGAATCTTTTGTCTTATAAACATCTAATAATTCATTCAAATCTCTTTGAAACCTAAAAACTAGCATAAGAAGTCCTTAGAAATGGAACAAAAAACACAAGCAAAATCTTATCACATTTACAACCTTAATATTATCCAAGTTAATAAGAATGTAGAAAGTGGATCCAATCACATAAAACAAACCTAGAATTAGAAACTAGATGGTTCAAATTATATATATATATATATATATATATATATAAATAAATAAATAAATAAAACACATAAACACATATTGAAGAAGCTTGTCAATATGCATATCAAGGTTAAGATAATAATGAGGTATTGATTGCTTTGATTGAATTAGAAGTTTTATTGTAATCTATAGATCAAAAAGTTAGTGTTTCCAAAATATATTATTAAGGTGTATATTATTGACCTCAAACACATCTTAGATATAAACTAGATGTTATCTTTATCAAAATTTATATATACTTTTATTCTTTATACGTATCAATAAATTCATTAAGTTATCTAAAAAAAATTAGATAATAATTTAAATAAATTATAGCAAAAATATCATCTAATAAAACATGTCACATAATTTTTCAATAGAATTGAATATCATTTATGTATATTGTAGTTGTCTTAAATTTATAATTGTACACAATTATTTTTTAGATATTTGAATTACTACATATAATTTGTGCAACATCAAGTCCTTATTCATTAGATTAGCTAGTTTCTAGCACATACCAACATATATTAGTTGAAACTTGAATATGAAATAAGACATACACTATAAACAAGGAAAGAAATTTTGGTGATTATGTTCTTTTCTTCAACCAATTTCTTTATTGGAGGTATAGCGAAAGCACAATGTCTATCAATTTAAAGACTTGAAGAAACATAAGGATTCTTTGATGGTGGAGGTTTGAACTTTTCTTGTTGTGTAGAAGAAAGAAAAGAAGTAGGTTCTTCTTTCTTTTGCAGAATGGAGACTTGCTTCCATTGGAAGACTTATAATCACCAATTATTTTCAATTCATCTTTTGTATCAACCATCACATAGATGGATTGTCTATTTGAGAAATTTAATAGAAATTTAGAAGAAAATAGAAAAATATAGAAGAACTTTATCTTGATCAAAATTTAATAATAGAAATATATTCTATTTTAAAAATATAATAATAAATCTATTTATATATATATAAAGTATCCAATAGCTAATATTAAACTACATGTCTTTACTAAATGAAACCTAAATTATTACGAAGGACACTAATATAAACAAAAGAAATATCAAACAATCCTTTCAAATACATGATTTACAAAAATCTTCTAAAAATTTCAAAAATAATATTTTCAATGTTTCCAGACATAGAATGTACCTAATCAATTAGGATGTCTTTAGCACCATCACTAACTAAAAGTTTGTCAAAAAATCTATTTTTCATAAATTCTATCTTCAATATTAACTTATCTTATTTATAATAGTATTCCAACATTCAATAACAATCATCTTCAAATGAAAATCAAAACAAGTAAAGGGAGGAAATATTTAGGAAGAAGATATTAACTACATGGACTATTTTTCATAGAAAAATAAATTGACTAATTTCTAATCGCTACTAATATATTGTCTCAATATTATACAACACATCCCTAGCATCAACTTCATGCTCTTCTTTCTTCTACCACACATCTATGGTATCTTGCAATGAATAGTACATCTAGCTAGAATAGTTATAATGATTTCAAAAAATCAACTTTGCTAAAAAATGCATATATTATATAAATTTAAAAAACTATAAAAAAAATAAAAATAAAATAAAATTCTATAATTTAGAAAAAATATGTAAGAGATAAAAGAAGGCTCCATGTAGGATACAAGTAGGAAAAACCTAAGTCATTATAGATGAAAGTGATGGCATTCTAATTTCCACAATAGTGCAAATTTCAAGAAGAAACATTGTAATTCTCATCAGTGATTGGCTTGCTCAAAACAATATCTACATCAATAATTTATTATAGAATATTTTATATTGCATAGTTTTCTAAATAAAAGATATAACCAAGCTAGAAAAACTAAACAACCAGATCTCAAAAAGGTTCATCATAGGAAGAAATATAAGTTAACAACTCAAGGTAAAGTTTTCACAATAAATAATATCTACAATGTTTGATACATGCGGCACATCCATGACATTCTCCATATTCATATTGAGCCTCAACCTCATGCTAATAGACTCACAAAAAACTTGCTAATACAATCTTAGCTTCTCCTTTGCATATAAGATACAACATCAACCTCTAAGTCTTATCCTAAGGATCCATAAATCCCTACGCTTTGAAACTAATTGTAAGAAAGTCATACGAAATCCAATTCAACCTACAAACTTTCATTGGCAACTAAATTTATACAAGTTCCAAACCTCTTAAGACGTCCAAAGAGACAAATCTCTAAGAGGCTTAAATCTTGACTTTAAAACCCAGCATAGAGCCATCTCTAATCAACAAAATCTTATTCTTTCTAACTAAAGAAAAGTAGCAATTTTAAATTTCTTTGAATAATATCTAATCAAGGATAATAATATCAAATTAAGTCAATAGTGTGTTATTTGCAAGAGAATCAAGCTCATTGAAAGTACAATGCAAGCTTGTAAAAGATATGATAGAAGGACGACAATCTAAGTAAGAAATTAGTGCAAGTTAGGTAGTATACAAATATGCAAACGGCAAGCGGGAATCAAAGAGGTCGCTACAAAAGCTCAAGGCTTGAATAGTAGCACCACCATAAATGTCAAGATAGCAACAAGATCAACTACTATTTCATCTTGAGGACAAGATTTTGTTGTCTTTTGTCTCTACTTTGCAAGCTCTATGGTGTAGACAACTACATCCAAAGTTCTTGTCCAATATACTTGTAGTTTGTCCTCAAAAGACCATAGAGACTTGTTTACTCATAAGTTTTTTTCTTTATTTAAGTGAAAAGTGGAAATTAAGAATTGAAGGGAGTTAGCACACTTATACAACTATATTGTATCAAGAACACATAAAGGCTTATTTATATCAAGTTATGACATAGTGATAATAAAATATATTTAAAACTTTAAATATTAATTGCATAATTAAATTTCATAATAAAAAAAATTACAATATGTATATATAATTTGGAATTATTATTAATTTATATATGTAGGTATATGTTTCTTATACAAAAAATAGCTTAGGGAGATAAACCAATGGGATAAACGAAAAGAAATAAAAAACCATCTCTAATTGGCTGAATATTTCATTGTTTTCATCAAAAGTGAAGCAATAATTCAACTTTTAATCCATTAGGAATCAAAATCAACATCTTGTTGCTATAGAGTGTTAAGAATAGTATTGCAAGATCACTAGGTATGGAGGTCAAAAGCACCACAACATAGAATAATATAGAACATAATAGAACAACCTGCAATATGAAGTTTCACATCATATAAAGCTTCAAACAAAAGGTTAATTTATAACATATAATTTACAATGTTTTTTTGTGGCCAATGACACAAGTTTCTACTAATATATATATTATTTAGTTACAATTAGAATGGTTGTTCAAATCACACAACCAATGACATACAAATGAATACAAGTAAATTCAAAAAATTGACATAGATCAATCATAAAGTAAAACAAAATTAAATTGTTTGTAGAAAATGAGATTGTAATATGAAGCATTTAATTATGCAATTAAATTATATATCATTACTATTATTTATATAAATATGCTTAAGTCTATTAAAATCTATTGATTGTTTATTTATATTATAAGTTGTAAAACATTATTTATAATCATAATGTCTATTAATGTGGTTATTATGTATTATTAAATGTCAAATATTATTTGACAAAATTCCTTATATTACTATACAAAATGTACATAATCTAATTTAAAAATCAAATTTAGAATGCAATAATACATACATACTTAGAACATGCCATTTAACACTTTAATATGTGCCACAAATAATCCTATTAAATAAATATTTGTATCAAAACATAGTTCCATGACCAATCCATATCTACAAAAACCTATTAAAATTGTTCATAAGATAAAAACACAGTATAACTCTACATTATAACTCTGCAACACAATATATGTGTTATGAACTGGTTGAATGTTTCAATAACATTACGAATGGCAAGGACGTCAGAATGAAAAAAATGCACACAACAATGCAAGGCTCTGCACCATTACAAACTTGAATCTCTGAAGTCGCTTCCGGGAGCTACGGTGATGTACAAATGGAAGAATGGCTAGGACTAAATTTCCCAACATGTATCTAGTGGTCAAACACAGACTCCCACAACCCCGTGCAGTGATGGTGGTCAGAAACTGATTAAATTTGGCGCCAGAATGCACACCATCAATTTCGTCTCAGCGGCCGGGGCCCATGGGGTCGGTTTGTGGGTAGACCGTCCTGTCCGGCGAACAGATTTCATACTGCAGATCCATGCAGCTTTTTCTTCTAGTCCATGCACCGAGGATCAAGCACTGGAGTGACGCCAAACCAGGCAGTGAAAAGCAATGGGCCTCTGCAGGGAACCCTCCGATCTCTCTGCATCGAGGGCCCCACAGGGTTCCTACTTTATGGATGGATTCGCTCAACGGCTCACCGTAGTCAAACTGGATTTCTACACCGATTGAGGCATCGAACACCATTGGAGCAGAGGCCGTGCAAGACGTCGAATTCGGAAAACCAGTGAGGAAATAATATAATTCATATGGATGGTGAAGACAAACGGTTTTACGAAATGAAGCTCATAACGGGTTTAGGCTCCCAAAATGAATTGGCTCTCACAACTTGGTTCTTTATCCCCAAAAGAATCCAACCATCGTCCACACCAACCCCATAATCCTTGTGAAAAGTAGCCATCATGGCTTTCATTTTGGAGAGAAGGATTTGCTTAGGATGAACTCGGGTGAAACCTGCCCTTTGCAGTCGATTTTGCCATTGCCTATACGGCTCCTGCCTTTCCACTCTCGCTTGCCCTTCGCAAGCAACAATGTTCAAAATCTCCCGACCAAAGATCTCTCTTTCCAGGATAACTCTTTCTGGGTCGTCGATAGGAAAAGACAATTCCATCCCATTAAATATTGCCGAGTAGTGCTTAACGCTCTCCCGAAAGCGGGTCATGAAAAATGGACCATTGCATGCTGCATTATCCACAAACATGAAGAAAACCTGTACAAATCGACACTGAAGTATTAAATATACAAACATAACAAATAGTTTAAGCAAATCAAAAGCTACTTTGAAAGAACTCTTGATGCACAAACACAGAAGTACGATAGATTGGGGTACAGTAGCCTTGAAAGAACGACAAATTGCAGCGAGCAATCCTTGCATCCAGCCAGCGTGTCACAACTGTTCTGAGAATCCAAAAGAGTGCGTCACAAGCAAAATGAGACATGGATACTGATACTGAACTATAGCTTCCGATTTACCTTGGGATTCAGACTTCGAATCCTCCTCAGCAATAGTTCACGAGGACTTGCGCCCAACACAGACACATCAAGAATATTATGTAATCTGTGAGTAATCACTGCAAGGACTTCATCGCTTCTTAAATTGAAATCCCTCGCCGTGAACGATTCCCATTTTCCAGCTAGAGCATGAAACTCAAATGGTACATTCCACATCTTCGCAAATTCCGCAAGCCTCCGCCCAGTTTGCTCTATTTTCCAACAGGGATCTTCTCCTGGGTATGGAACATCCACACCTGCCATGGCAATGCAGAAGTTTCACACAAAAGTGAACAACATACATTCAAACGTGTTGCGAACGGATAAGAATACATAACTGGATCCACAAATCAAACGTCTATCGCAAGCATAACTGAATCATCATATTATTAAAAAACTGCTTGAAATGATAGACGAGATACCTGTAATACGAAAATGAGGGGGTCCTTCTGGCCTTTTCGAGAGATGTTGGATAAGAGTAGGCCATTCAACTCCATACTGGATACCGTAGTGAATAATGTGAACGCGAGTAGCACCTTCAAAAGCATCCAAGGTCATTTTCGTTTCAAAAAAATGGCCGACTTTGATGTAAGGGCAACGATCGACATACTGGCGAAAAGCTTTCAACATTGTCGCAGCCGACGGGTGATTGTTTGTGATCACTGTGTAAAGTTGTTCGCCGGTACCTGACATTTTTGCGACCTGTCGGTTCAAAAGAGTATCATTTCGGAGACATATTCTGAGACTCCATTGAATTACGATAATTCACACGATTTCAATAAAGATTCTACCATGCAAAGCATGAAGGGTGCTGTCAGCAAACGAATAGGTGAGCGCGCAGAATCTGAAAATATCAGATCCCCCCCCCCCCCCGACTCTTCAGCAAAGAACGACTAACCAGAGCTTCCATGAAATAATGCGCCACACGTTGCATATAATCGCCAAAAGGTGATGAGAGGCTCCGCAGCTCTGCTAAGTATTCGGTAGCACTATGTGTTTTCCCTTGGCTCACTGCAAAAGCGCACCTGTACCATCACACACAATATCACTTCATTAAAAATACCAAGAGGATTGCGAGACTAATGTTGCCCTAGTTTGATATAACAGCTAGTCCTAAAGTGGGAATTCGACATAACACCTACTAGCAAGTAATTCCACACTGCAAACATAACTAAAACAGTCGAGACCTAGAGGTATTGTGCTCAGGATTGATAATATAGCTCTCTAATCCAATCTCTTGAGGCAAATAGCAGGCAATTCACAACTGTAAGAGTTTGGCCATACCTATAGAGCAATTCCGTCAAAGTAGCGCAAGGAGGGGACGAATTCGACCCTCCTAAGCCACGAAGAAGCGGATTGAAGTCGAAGTCCGACTTCATGGTGGGCTTTCTGTTAGAATTATCTAAATGGTATCTAAAAACGTCATCGAAGTGGACCATGAGACTATCAGACTCGGTAATAAAGGACCTGTAATCCACGTTATCAGAATTCCTGGCACCACTTACATCTGTAATGTGCTTGCTGAGCATGCAAGTGTAACCCTCCATCAACTTCATCGTTGTGTTGTCTTCAGTTGGAATAAATTCACTAATATTGTTGTTCTGGTCATTAAAACCCTCGACTTCTCCAATATCGGGTATATTAGCCTCTGGGGAAAGGACACCAGCGATCTCTCTAGCCATAGCCTGACATGAACGACTCTTTTCCGCCATGCGCAGTTCATCGGTAGAAAAGAACGCAGCGTAAGCCCAATCGTTCAAATAATCTGCCTCAACAACCACAGGGTCATCTATACCATCTACACCAGAATCTGGAGCAAGAACACCGGCAATCTCCTTCACCATGGCATGGAAAGCGCCAGATTGTTGCATTAGAGATTTTTCCTCATCCAGGTCCTCATTCGACAGAATATCATCAATAAATCGGGTCATGGACTCCGTCTGCCCTGCTAGATCGCCCGACCCACTGCTGTTGCCTTCAAAGTGCACAGCATCAAAAATTCCTTCAGTCGCAGATGGCTGCGTATCACTCGAAAGACTATCTCCTGTACTAAAGGTCGACGATCGCGAATCTTGAGAGGCGTAATAGTTAACACCCAAAGCCGCACGTCCACTGCCTAACACACCACTAGAACTCGACCATGGCACGTCCGTCTTCTTCGAGATCGTCTCAAGCTTCGGCGGTGCAAATCTTTCCAAAAAATTCGACGACGACACCTCGAGCCGGCTCTTGTGGAAATAGCTTCCCCTCAAGCCATCGACGTGACTAGCTCGATGAGGAGACAACGACCTGCCTCGCTTCTCCGCAGACACGTCCACAACAGGAGCCGACAAGCTGCGTCTCTGCAACTTAGGTCTCTGCGACTGAAGCAATGCCTGTTGCAGCAAGCTCTCCAACGACGAGCTCGAATTCTCCCTCCCTGGAGTTAGCGACCCGCCTGTCTTTCCTTTCTCTGTCATACCTACATTGAAACCATCAGCAACAACAACAGCCCTTCACGACGAATTAGCCTCCAAAAACTCCGTCCTCTCGGGGTTTCTACACTAACAGTCCGCCCTCAGACTCCACCGCACCATATCGACGACGCAACGCTTTACGATCTCCAAACCGCGTTGGAATCAGTGGGAGACACGATTAATGAGGGTAGGTAGATAGCTGTAAAATGAGTCTCGCTGGTGCCAAATGCTGCTGGATAGGAGTCAGAGGAGAAGCAGAGTGAGTGAGTGAGTGAGTGAGAGCACGTAGTCCGAATCTCGATGCAACGAAGAGATTCAACACCAACGATAATGCTTGCGAAGGCGTCCGAAGAAAACACCCTTCATTTCTTCGTTGCTTGTGAGCGAGCGAGGTGGGTTGCGACGAGGAGAACTTGACGCCATGGCTCCATCATCGGGGCTTCGATGATCTCGCTGCCTCCACTTTTTTTATTACTATCCCTTCTATCTGGCAGGCCCAGATAGCCACATAGATACGAACAAATCCTCTAGTCAAATATAATTTCATTTGTATATGTATATATATATATATATATATATACACAAACACACACATGTTTTCATACTATTCTATCTTGCTAGTTCTTTTTCTACGGTAGGTACTTTTTATATTAGTGCCATTATTACTATTATGTTAATTATAGATGTATGTATGTACATGTTAAAAAAGAACATGCTGTCATGACTGAAATAGTTGTCTACACATCAAGATAGTTCTTTCATCGGAGGTGATAAAATCACATATTTTTACTTATTTCAAAATCCTAGCAACACAACATATGTGATTGATGAACTCTAATACATTGACCCATCTTTGAATTGACATTATATTTATCATTTTATAAAAATCATAATTAGGTTCATTGTGGAAACATTTTACAATAACTACAGTAAACATCTTTCGCTCCTGAGTGATACTGCAAAAAAGTTGTAGAAGTCACGTGTCACAATATATTAAAGTTCTCTCTAAACTCAATTCGTTAGAGGTTAAACCGTCTGAAACAAATAATTTTCAAATTAATCACCAACAATTTTTTCAATCAAATCAAAGTAAATAAGAGAGTCTCATATCAAGATATATTTAGAAAGCCTTGCATTTTACGCAATACCTCTGTGAGGGTGCCCGAGTTTTGGGCATCAAATAGGGTGTTTACTTCTCAGCAATTTGCAATGCCATTCTCTTTTTTCTTATCCCATGTCAATCCCAGAGGCAAAACGATTCCTCTTTTTAGAATTTCTCATATAGGTTTCAATGTTTAATCGTTATAATCTCCCACAATCCACACTGACCACATCACGGATTCTGTTAAAGAGCTCACTGCAAGATGTCGCTACAAGATGAAGGAATCCTGCGAGTCGGTATTCTAACCCAGTAGCCTATCTTCAGATGAAGCAAAACTAGGATAAGGAGTGACGAAGACCGGTCCACAAAAGTCAGCAGGAAATGAAACACGGCACATTGGTTGAGATACAACTGCCCAGATGTGGAACAGTGATCAGCATTATGTTTGGACCAAGTCCAGTGGTCAACATACTTAGCTGCAGCTTTCCTAGCTCTTGCAACACGCCCACTAAATCTACCAGACTGGCCAGGCCACCAGATTATACGAGCTCCGAAGGTGCAGGGGAACACCACTGTCGAAGTGGAATCCACGATGAAAATGAAGAGATACCGAACAAACACATGGCTGATATGTGCAAAGACTTGATCCTTCATCCTTCGATGCCGAGAGCAGTGCCTTACCTTTCTGGAACTGCGAAGTAAGCTTCACAAGATTAATCAAGCTGTCAGGGCCTGAGATACAAGAGAAGTTTTATTTTATTTTATTGTATTTGAGAAAACGCAAAACAAAACAAAACTTCACTTTGGAACAGCCTGTGACTGCAACCGCTCATTACGATCTAAGTGAATGATTGATTCAACTAGCCATCTTTCGTTTTTCTCCAGAAACCAAACACTACCACGAGGAGTAAAGTTTGTTCTATACAGCAGTAGATGGCAAGTCAATATCAAAGGACTGCATCGAAATATAGGTAATGTACTTGATTGGTGAGACAAACCCACTCCACGGAAACAAAACATTAAACAGCCTAGGAATGAGTTGGAACATAGAGTGAAACCACATCGAACATTTCCCAACGTCCACTTACTTATGACAGACGAAGATCGAATTGCCTTTAAGGGGATGCGTACCAAGCTGATTGATGAGCCTGGCAGGAGATCGACAAATTGTGCAGCGTGTGTGCAGCACACAAGTCACCAAGTCACTCAAGGATCTGAAAACACAGAATATCTCAGGCAAAAAAAAAACAACGAGATTTCGGAAAGACGGGAAGAATTGTACCTCATACTTGACATTCTCAGGAGACAGGACAAGTAGACTGTTCCCTGCCAGTTATCCTTTTTGAATCCATAGCTTGCTCAAGAATAAGAATAGGCTGAGGGCTCACACATATTTTAAAATTCGTCCTTCCTCGTGAAATTCCGAAAATTTGGGTTAAAAAATGGTAATCTCGATATCTGGAGGATAGTTTTAAGGGCACTTAGGCTCCCAAGCTGAACAAAACTTGACGATCTGGTTCCGGATTCCCATCAGAAACCAACCATCATCCCTACCGACACCATAATCTTTGTGAAAAGCACCCATCATGGCTTTCATTTTATTGAAAACTGTGTCCAAGATCGGCAACTGAGTGAACCCTGCTCGTTGGAATCGGTTCTGCCACTGCCGGTATGGTTCTGCCCGTTCCACTCTCGCTTGTCCTTCACACGCAACAATATTTAAAATCTGCGAACCGAAAATTTCTCTTTCAACGATGACTCTATCCGGATCATCACGAGGCATAGATATGTCCAACCCTTCATATATGGCCGAGTAATGCTTGACACTCTCCCGGAAGCGGGTCATGAAAAATGGAGCATTATGGCCTCCATGCATTCCCACCATAACGAACAGCTGCACATTTCGACCACGATGTGAGTGAGCGCTTGTATCGATATGATGTCGAGCCCAAAATCCGACGTCTAAGATGCATAGTACACGCAAATTGAGATGACCTAGGTCACCAAACAAACAGACTCTACCAATGCTTTCGTCATGCTTATACCTGCAAGATGCCACAGATGAGAATGCTCAGTTAAAAAAGTATTAAAATCGGTGAGTCAAACGTGACAATAGAGGAGCGTTGTGTACCTTGGGATTCATACTTCGGATCCTTCTAAATACAAGTTCACGAGGACTTGTGGCCATCACCGACTCATCAGGAAGGGTGTGCAGTGAATCTTGTGATGACACTGCAAGCACTTCATCTTCCCTCAAATTCATATCTCTAGCTGTGAATGATTCCCAGCTTCCAGCTAGAGCAACATATTCAAATGGCACCCCCCACTTCTTCGCAAACATTGCCAGTCTACGCCCTGTTTCATTTATTTTCAAGCAAGGATTGTTCCCTGGATGTGGTGAATCAATACCTGTAATCACAGAAGAGAACAATACATCATCAAAACCAAAACCTATTTCCTTACTCAGATGCTGCTTTACTTAACAGACTCAACACGGTGTTAGATCGCATTTCGAAAGTGCCCCACCAAGCGCTGAAAGTGGAAAAGGTTTGTAGATACCTGTTATACGAAGGTGGGGTGCTCCTTCCGGCCTTTGTGATAAGTATTGAATTAGACTCGGCAATTCCACTCCATACTGAATTCCGTAGCATATCAAATGAACACGGGCAGCGCCTTCAAAAACATCTACTATTGATTTTACTGTGAAGAAGTGGGCAAAGATTAAATAAGGACAGTTCTCGAGATATAGGCGAATAGCTTTGAACACAATCGCAGCAGAAGGGCCGTTGTTGATGATTACCCTGTATAGCTCTTCACCAGTACCTGACAATTTCGCGACCTGCAGGAAAGAAGAACATCTAAGGTTGCTTAGGAATACAAAAGAAAACAGACGAAGACACTACGTCGAACGATTATGCCCATTTCAGTCGATGTAGGCGGTGTTTGATGACGTAAATTACGATTGATGCACATCAAATAACTTCGCATATAGAGAATTAACGATGTAGTTCAACTGGGTCCTTTCGTTCAAAGAAATGAAAACATGAAGTCTAAAACTTATGGCGTCACTACCACTACGACCTGTCGCTTCAGCATCAATCCCGTTCTGACAACCCGCACTTACCCTGAGACCTAAGAAGAAGAAGAAGAAGAAGAAGAAGCAAAAAAGGTGAAATTCAAGAGAGAACGAGAGAGAGAGAGAGAGAGAGAGGAAGGAAGGCGAGGGAAAAAGAAGTGTGTGAAACTAAGAACATCCGGATTCATTGTACACCGTTGGTGGAGGTCATGTTACAAGACATGCAATGCCCTTCGATACGTTTCTGTTGAGATAATTTACTGCACTAGTTCTGGTCCTAAACTCAGAGCTAACTGACCAGAGCTTCCATGAAATAGTGTGCCATGCGTTGAGTAGCATTTCCATTGGGCGACGAAATCTGCCGCAGGTCAGATAACAAATCAGTTGCTTCTCGTACGTTGCCCTGACTCACTGCGAGCGCACACCTGCGGCATAGAATAAGGAACATATCATATCAAAATCTAGAACATTTGTAAAATACCCAACACAAGTATAACTATCCAGCATAACTCCGCTTCTTGAAGAACGTGGTACTCAAACCTTAAGTGGTTTATGTTCAGATTGCGACGAAAAAAATGAACGAAAGCAACAGTCCACGGATAATAAACCGGTGCTTATCACGACTGCGCCGTTCTTCGCCACTCTAAGTAATGCTCAGGGGCACGAAACCTCGTAATTATAAGTCATGAAAGCTAAAGACTCACGGTATGATAGACCTAAGTGCTTTAGCTAGGTCTTCGGCATCAACGCAATCATAGCATTGAAATTTGCCAACCCGGATGCGGAATCACTGATCTCTGTCAATAAGAAGTCTTAACTCAAGCAATGCAGTCGTTGGGTAATGACTAGGGTTTAAGCTGCATACCGGTAGAGAAGTTCCGTCAGACTACCGCTACTGGAGGAAGGGACAGCATTATCCGCTGAAACTTTTGACCCTTCAACTGCGCCACAGAGAAGCAGGTTGAAGTCGAAATTTGAGGTGGGAGTAAAGTTTTGATTGAGGTTTTGCAAGTATAATTTCCAGTCTTCATTGAAGTAAGTTACAATAGTATCTGTTTCAGTGGTCCTATACTTGATCGTGGAAGCTGCATCGGAATCAGAATTAATAGCCACATCCTCTAAGTGCCTGGTGAGTATATGGGAATAGGCCTCCATCATCCCCCGAGCCGCGAGTTCCTCAGTAGGTCTGAAATCGGCACTATCGCTGGCCTTGCCATCCGAAAGATCAGTTTCATCAGTATCAATCACTGCAGGATGCGGAGAAATGAGTTCAGCAATTTCCTTCACCATAGCTTGATAAGCGCCACTCTGTTCAAGTATATGCATTTCTGCCTCGGTACGATAGGGTTCAGCATCCGCCCAGCAACTCTCGTAATCTACAATATCAGATGTCTCAGTTTCGACTGAAGAATTTAAACCAATAAGGTCAGCAATTTCCTTCGCAATAGCCTGGTAAGCACGAGTCTCGTGGAGATTTTCTTCTTCCAGGTTTTCGTCCGTGAGGATGCCGCCCAGAAAGCTAGCCATAGGCTGTGCCTGTCTTTCAAAGTCGACTGAACTTGTGCTACTGACTTCAGATTCTGTGGCGCCAAGTGAATGTCTGCTCTGGCCTGACAGAGTTTCACTCGACTCTGTGGAGGATTTCGTCAGGGGCTTCAATGCTTGTGAGAGGCCGTGGCCAGCGACTGGCTCTGAGTGTGTCCATTGCACCAGGGAAACTGAAAGTGGAACATACGTCTTTGAAGAGTAACTTGTCAATTCGGGAAGTGAAAACCTTGATACGAGGACTGTTGAAGCATCCAGCCTAGACTTGTGAAAGTAAACTTTGTCCGACTCTTCCTGATCATCTGATCGAGGAAAACGAGTTCCTGAGAACGCTGGCAAAGATGCAATTCGTGAAAAACCTCGCTTCTCATCTGCCACATCAGGTAGCGGAGCCGACGACAAACGCCTTGATCCTTTCGATTTGTGAGTCTGAAGCCATGCTCGCTGCAACAGACTCTCCAGCGGCGAGATTTCAGTGTGAGTTGCTTGAGAAGATCCCTCTACTCTCCTGGTTCCCACCATACCTGAATCAATCAGAACCAACACACTTGCTGTGCGTTGATTCCCCGCTTTGAGCTCCTCTTTGTTTCCGACCTCTTCTAAAAACCTGCACAACGCCTCAGCCACTACCACAAAAGATCGCACTATGCCCTACAGTTGCATCAAACTGCAAATACCTCTCCTAATTCTCTCAGAAATCGGCGACAGTGGGCTTATATGCGTCTACCCCCAGTCACGTTAAAGTTGCGAACTATAGATGATGGAACTCGTCAAATGGCGTAAGAAACCACAGATTAATTTCTGAACATTGCTCCGACGACAAGAGAGTACTCTAATCCCCGACAAGTATCTATTTGACAAACCCGATGAAGTAGGGTCCGACTGCACCATCCTTACGACCAGAGTGTGATCTCGCTGACTGGTATTGCATTAGGTAGATAAGACCTTTTCTGGGCACGGTGTGAAGAACCAGCGCAGCAGCTTAGCATCTTGGCATCCCGTGTCCTGGTTCTAAGGTGCAGAAAAAACCTATTAATGAAAGTTTTAGATATAGGGAGGAAGGGCTTCGATGCATCTCCTAGTGCTGTTATCAACACTGACAAATTCCCAAAAAATACATGCAACCTGCGCAAAATTCTGTAATCCTGTCAATCCAGCACGTCGTTTTTCAAACAAATTGCGGAGATCATGCAGGGAACGGCTAGGGTTCACCGATTCAAAATTGGCGGTATTGTGAATCGTGACACACTCATGAGCCAGCTACAGATGAAATTCTCGAGTCTCGAGGATAAGAATTCATTACCCAAAATATTCCATTGAGGTCAACATATGCGGCATCGCATACACGGATTCCCGTCTCGAGGGAAAATAGGGCAAATGTGCAGGTTGAAGGAATCTCAATCCCGACAAGTTGAGTCTCATTTGTCCATGCACCCTGCCGTATTTTGGCCACAACTTAGCGGCCATGCGCATTGTCCTCGAGCAGAAGTAATGGCATCTCACGTTCCTTCACAGTGTACATCTCCACTGAATAAGTGGCGAGATCTACAGAAGGTCCTTCGATGCCAGGCACGTGCACCAAGACATACAGGATGGATGAACACCTCCCTTATTTTTCCTTCTAAAATAACCGATCTCTCTCGCATTCGTCGCTATCGGTGGCCCACAGATGCAACCCAGTCTTTGTCAGACGTATGCTTACAAGGCACAGAGGTTTGTACGTTGCTACAACCCCATCGTCGTGCCGAAATCCCGCTCAACACTCTAAATGCGAACGCCTAGCGTCCACAACGAACCTAGGGAAGCAGTGATAGCTCCAGGTTCTACGTCGCTGCTACCCCTCACTTCTTAAATTCGTCCCATTGGCCATATCCAAAACGGGAGAGTTTGCTTGGCCAAGACTTCACCAGGGTTGCCGGATCTGAATAGCAATGTCTAAGGCACGTATCCGGTCACAGAGAAGCACGCCCCAATTTTTCAACGCAGGAGATCTTAGAATGGAATGCGAGAATACCCCACTTGTAGTCTTCCGATGGCTGCAGGTACCATGTTCCGGTTCATAGAATTTCCGAAGGATCGGAGTTGCTGAGATGACGAGTGAGGTAGAGCGTTGAGATAGAATCTAGGCGATTTCTCTCTCGAGATTGAAGAAGGTAGTCAATCGCTCAGTGCTCCGTCCATGAGAGGCAAAAACCATATACAGTCTCATGCTCATATGCTTGTATAGGAGCAGTCTGGACGTATTCTTCGTATGTTATAAGCCAAGTTTTAAAAACACATCTGTTCGAACACTATTCGGAGAAATTCAGATTGAACACGATAAAAACGGAAGTACGACCAACGTACTACTTAAAAAGTGCCCCACGATGTTAGGAATTCCCGGTACTTTACATGATTAGTCAACGAGAATACTCTTGGAGATGAACCGGTACTAGAAACAGGATGGTGAATATTGCGACCTCCCGTGTGTGGTAGTCTGTGTATCAAGGAGTTATTCACACAAATCTTACTATTTACAACTTACACCGAAAGTTACGGGCAGTTTATATTCTGTGGTATCTTAGTAACACATTAAGAGATTACGCAAGTACAAATAAAGGTATAAGCAGACGAGTCCATAATGTCGACCGTGGCCGCCAAAGCGGCAGAAGTTATGGACATGTTTCTCGAACAATTATAAACCGACGCTTTTAGTATGCTGGGAGTAACAATAGGATAAGCCTAAATTACCTATTACTATTTTAAGACTCAGTAAACAACTCATGTGGCATGTTAATCAAAGCTTGAATGCTGATACTAGGGGTTTGAGGTTTTAATTTCGTCCTTTTGTGCTGTGCATGCTAAGGGTGGTAAATGTAGACAATGGCAGTCAGCAAGATCCTCCGATAAAAGACTATAATAAGTCATTCATTACGAGAAATTTTGTTACGTTAAATCAAAGAATGGAAACACAACAAAGTAACTGTATTGATAATATCGTGAAAGCATAAGAACGGCTGAACTTTCATATCAACAAGAAAAAAACTAAAAGGCACAAAAATTATGTAAGAAGTAATATTCGTTACATATAACTCGAGCTCACTGCACAGAGGCTAAACAAGATTCAAAATGATAATTGCTTCAAGAACCAAAAGACCCAGAGAACAAAGACGTGAAACATCGTTACCGATATTTTGTAAAAACAAATACAGAAGTGGCCTAGGCGGTTTCAGATTCCTATTTGGCAGCATCCTCAAATGTCTCTCCCTCCACGAGTTCAGGGACATCATCTTCCTCCTCTGCAGCACGGGAAGCTTCTTGCCTCTGGTACTGCTGGGCGATCTTCTTCAGATTCACCAAGTTGTCAGGGCCTGAAAACAGTAGAGTATATGAATGAGAAAATGCAACAGGCAACACATGGGCACATTGATCAGCAGTGACCTAATATGAACCATGAAGCTGAAAGATACATCAACTTAAACTCAGTCAATTAATGAAGCAGTAGCATACCGAGCTGGTTGATGATGCTTGGCAAGAGATCCTCGAGCTCTTCAATAACAAAACAGACAGATCAACTTCATAACGCTATATGATTTCGGAGCCAACATATTAAATAAGGAAAATTATAATTGAAGCCAAAGGTGCAAAGCAAGACGGAAGAAAAGAAACACTTACTCTTGGTCTGTGATGGTCCACTTACAACCCATGTGTTGGCAGCGATGGAAGCTTGCACTGCACCAAATAAGTGAAGACGATAATTAATAAAAATGGAAAGAAACAATTAAGCACTCCAATATCATATCAACAATGTGAGTCCTAAAAAAACTGCAAATAACAGGCTAGAAAATCTGTTAAGTTAACCTTAAAGAGTACACTAAAAAGTCATTGAAAGGTAAACAAGGAGCTCAAATATCCACATTTCATGTCATGCTCGTACTTCTGTGAAGATAGAAGTACATCGAGATATATTCAAGATTGCTGCAATCTAGATTTGTGTAGTGCAGAGCAGTGCAATACCTTTAGGGTTGACAAAATGGATAACATGTTCTTCCTTGAAGACATTGACCTCTTCAATACCAGGAATGGTATTTACTCCAAGCCTCTTCAAAGTATTTTGTAACCTCTTGTCATCAGTAGTGGTAGTTTTATGAACCGCTTTGTGTTTCCTGTCAAGGTTGAGATGTTGACATGCGTATAGGTAATCACAATACTTGGCTCACCAACTAACACCCTATAACGAAACACCTACTACTGGCATGGGAGAAGGAAAAGTCGACAGCATCAACGTGAAAATTAGCGAACATGATACCATCAAAGATTCGTAATCATGAATAATATAATGCAAGCGGAACAATGACCAGTGTGATAAGTTTCTATGCTCAAAAAGAAGAATTCCGAGTCGGTTCGGAAGATTATGTAGAAAATCTACAAATTGGTTGTGATATCACCAAAAACAACTAGCATAGGTGGTTCACAATCCTGCAGTGAAACAAGAATGCCATAGATATAACAATGTCTTCTTTAATTCCATTTTGAAATGTCATTGTGCAGAATTCATTAATATTGCTAGTAAAGCAAGAAAATCGAAGTCCCAGGAAAGTCGAAGTCTCGAAAAAACACAATAACAACAACAAGAAATCAAAATTTCCCCAATACTCCTCTAAACCTACAGCTCAGTTCCCAAGAGCTACAAAAATGCATTGCACCAGTCCCTCCACGCCAGCTCAGTTCAACTTCCAAATGCTACAAAGCACTTGAAGGAGGCACTAAACCACCAAAACCAACATAACAACACACTAATACAAAACCCTAGACCTCGTCACAAGACGCACAAACCAAACCCCATCGGAGTGGAGGGAATGTCAGCACAGTCAAGAGGCGTAGAAGTGAATTTTACCTTCTAACACTGCCCTTTCCGCCAGTGCGCACGGCACTGGCCATCTTCATGAGCTTCTCCCGGTTCATGATGGCAGAGACGTCGCAGCTGGCGAGGGAGGGGAGCAAAAGCGGAAGTAGTTGGAGAGATGGGCCAGGAAAATGGCTCGGCCAAACGGAGCTTACCTCCGCAACAGCTTCACTGCTAGGGTTTCGCAGGCGGCGCGTCGCCCTGGAGATGTCCACCCCAGCCCGCGCTTGATAAAGCTGTGAATGCATTGCTGAGGTGTAGGGGTCCTTTGTCTAGTTGGACTATGTATTGATGACGTGGAGGGGTAGTCTGTCCAGTTGGACAGCTGACGCGTCAGACTTTGCTTTCGTGTGATAAAATATTTCAAGTGTCCAGCCTCCGGAGCTCTTCATTTTGTCGGGCTGTGGTTTTAAACGACCCCCCTCGTAACGCTGAGCATTGTTGGGCTTAGAACCATAAGCTTCGCTTGACGTTGATCCATGGCTTCTACCAACGTAGTGAGGTAATCTTCAGAAGTTCGTATCTGAGACAGTTCTTTGTTGTGGATGTTCTTGCTTCTTTTCCTTTTTTAAACGATTTCCCTTGATTTTAGGCTCCATCGTGATTCCGGTTGGTTGACCACATTTGCTGTGCAGCCGACTCTTTTCGTCTCCATTTCAGATTCAGTGGATTCGCGTGCGTTTTGTGTCAGCATGATCAGAATAGTGATGTGTTCATCACTGTTCGCTATCGCTTTCCAAGTGGAGAGTAATGGGACTCTAGACGAGACTAGGGGAGAGTGTTCAGAACCAGTGGGCCTGCGATGTAGAGAGTGGAATACACACAAGAAATTTCTGTGAATCGCAGAATTGATAATGCATCAGGAAATCAAGGGCACAAACCGCGGTGCTTTTGAAAAGAAAAATTCACCAGAGGTACGAAGGTTGATCGATCTTTGATGATGTCAACGAACTTCTTACAAGCTGCTTGTTTTCGTCAAGCGATCAGCTGTGCTTCTCGAATCAAAGCATTTGGTATACCGGTGAGCGCCATAACTTCTTCCCCATAGAACTTGCAGCTGTCGCCATTGTCAGTTGTCCTATGTCAATCAATGCTGTCCAAGTAAGATATTTAGCACTTAACTACTCTAATTTTTTGACGGTTTTTAGTGCAATCAATACCATTATCTGAGGTGGAGCAATTATAACAGGATAATCAAGACATTATCAATAACAATTGCATTGTGCATTTGCTTGTTGGTAAAATTGATCTTTATTTTATAGCTACTTTGAAGCTGAAGAGTATATACGCCAATCACTGTAGACATTATTGAAAGCTTTGAAACTAATGTACCATGTAGTACTATCATGTTTATCTATTTACTTATTTTTATGACATAAACATCTTCAACTTGGCATGATAATCCATCATTATTTCATTCATTTTATCTCTTGAGTTGTTATCATTTTATATTTGTTGATTTGTTTAATTTTAAGTTTTTCTTACTTATTTCGTCTTTTTAAGATAATATCGCTTAAAATCCATTGATTACACTACAATTTAAATTATAGATATTTGATGCATTCAAAGGTTGACTTAATTTCTTTGAATGTTTTGTTGTTAATTTCTGAAATATCAGAAATTGGATTTAGTTAGAGCTTCAATACAAAATTTATTGCAAAATATTCACAATGATTTTTTTAGTAAGAATAACAAAATATTTTTACACTTGTAATTTTTTATTGCTGTTTCTTGATTTTTATATCTTTGAGTAAAATTAATATTTTAATCAAAAACAAATTAAATATTTGTTATTACCATAAGTAAAGGATATATAGAGCTAGCTTTAGATGGATTCTTGGAAACAAATTTTACTAAGCAAGTTATTGTTTACAAAGTTTAATTTGCACAATTACCTACTTTCTATTTGTTATATGATTATAGCCTTTGAATAGTGGGTGATTAACATACTCAAAAGGAAAAACAAGGGTTGCAAGGAATATGAAAATCTATACAAATAAATAGCTATTTGTTTTCTTATAATAGTATGTCCATTATATAAACTATATCTATTTTTTAAAGCTCTTTATATGACTTATAAAATGTAAGACTCAAATCTCTATGGCAGCCACTGATTACATTTGTGGTAATTTTGTAACGATTTTGTTCAAAAATGTTACCTTATTTTATGCACTTCTAACCCCCCCCCCTCCCCCATTGCTTGTGTTTATTACTCCACCTTCTGAATGGGCCTCACTTGTCACTTTTTTTTATTGCCAATACAAGCATACTATAAAATTTTGTGTGTATTTTAATTATTAAATTGAATAAATACCTATTCTCAAAAATCATATTTTTTTAGTCATGCAATATGGTATTTCAGAAATTAACATCAAAACATTCAAAGAAATTAATTAAGGTATAGATATTTATTATAAATATTTTTATATAAAATTTATAATTCTACTATTCTTTTCATTAGATTTTTTGAAATCTGTCTTATTTAATTGAATAATACAGATACCCGTATAGTGTGATTTGAAAATCTAGTTTGACATTATTTAGAAATACATACATACAAGTTTTTTTTTTTTTTTAATTTTTTTTTTATGTTACCTAGTTATTATTATTATTATTATTATTATTATTATTGCTATTATTGAGAAAAATAGTAATTATGTTTTTACTATCTTCTAATACATTGTATCCAATGTAAAACATATTTTTCCTATACACTAATTCAGCTTCAACAACACTACAAACTTGAATGATTTTAAAACTAATTTAAACGTACAATCTATTTTTTAAAAAATGACACATATTTTGTAGTCTGACAGATATTCACAACTTCACTCCTGAAAATGTTTACAATTTGAACATTTAAAATGAAATTTTAAAAAGTATGTAAGCTGTTAAAATCCATTCGAATGTGAACCAGCCCCACCATTGACTGCCATTAAAATTCCTGATTGTTTCATTAAAAACTAATACGATGTTTAAGTATTGAACTAAATACGTGAATTTTACACTCATCATCAAAGTAAACCACAACGGGAACACGAAATTAAAGGACCAAGATGTTGGTTTTTTATTTGTTTTGAATATGGATTGTGATATTTCTGAATCACTTTTCAGAAAATCGCACTGGTAGATAAAATGCTCTGAATATGGCAAAAAACAAACAAACAAACAGTATGCAAATTGCGTTTACCACAAATAATTTACCACAAGCATTACTCATATTAAGTGCAAATCCGGATGGGATACGTTAGTATGTAATCTTAAACATGATTGTTGTCACGTAGAAAAAGCTAGCCCAGGGCATCATGTACGTTTTTAATACATACACAGACAGGGCAATATGCTTCTGTGTTGGATTGGGAAGATGGGGTTAGCGAGCTAAAAACATAAGAAAACCCCCAGGTTTATCAAATTTTACCCAGAGAACTAGGCACTTAATGCATTACCGTGAGTAGCGTACAGCTTCTGTCTATGTCCACAACACAACATAAACACACAAACAAAGATGTGCTCATTCTACTAAGTACTATGTACACTTAAACTACTCTTTAACTGCAGTAGAGAATGCGAGTAAGTTCAGTGAGAATCTTGGGTTTACATTTAACAACAAATAATTTCTGGGTATTCAGTTCACAGGAGTTCTTTTCATAGAGACACTGAAATTTTCACAAATGTTTCTAGTGTAGATTGATGGTGCCAATTTCAAGGCCAAAAATACCAAAAGAAGGATGGTGTACAGCTCTCAAATTCATATCTGCCATTCTAACTCTAAATCATCAGAAGCTTAACTACGCCTTAAGCCTGAACGTTGTGGAACGGATGATATCATCGTCCCGGTTCAGTCTGTCCTGAATGGTCTTTTGGCTCTCTGGCTTGGTCACGTACGTAAACAATAGATAGATTCCGTCCAAGTACCTGTTTGCAAATCCAGCCATGTTCTTAGTCTTGATATTGTAGGCCAACGGCTGCATGCCCCTGTTGAACATCTCAACGTCCAATCCACCTCCAGCGATGATGGCCTACACATCCACAAAAAACATATTGAGCTAACTTAAATGGTCATTCAACATGCTTTAAAGAATTCTAAGGTTAACGATCAGTTTGTGACCACAGGAGAGCATTCAATCTCTCGGATTACATGCCAAGGCTACTAACCAAAAAATACATAGCGGACAATAAATAAAACAAACCCTACTTGCATAGCATTTTACTTATAATCTAGTAATTGATGATCGTCTTCTAATTATGTAATAATAAGTTTATATTCTAAAGGGTAGTGTTTCCTCCTCAATCTAAGTATTTGCGTCGGAAAAAACGATAATTTGGAGCGTAGGTTTCTATCGGTTGTATTAGTCAATTTGCCAAGTAACCCCTTTTTCACAAGTTCAAAACAATACTTACAACTCTAAAAAAGTATCATGAGCTCAGGGTATAAATTATAAGATTGTACAAGTGAAACACAAGTCAACAAAAGCCATAAAACAACATGAGAGGTAAGCACAGTCAGAAGTCAAACTTCAAGATGCCAAACATCAACGAATGCCTGTAAGATATCCGACAAGACCATTGTTGACATTAATTACCCGTTCCCTTCGAGGGGGTGTGGAGTGAAAAACTGGACAAAATAACGCATGCGAAAGAACCAGTGCACCTGCGTCAGGATGTACCATTACATAATACCTGATAGAATCTGAATGGCCATTTGATTCAAATTAGCGGGGCGAATATGTGCTACTACCGTAAAACGAATCATACATTTGCTCGCGGAGGTCTTCATGATTTGCATCCACGTAGGGCATCAAATACTCTTTCCAAAGCTTAGGCCAGTGTTTGAGACCACATAATACACTGTCAACATGTTAACAACGCTTTCTGAAACGAACATGCATTTCATGCACTACCTCGGGACTTACTATATAAACAAAACAAAACCTACTGTCATCAGATTCTTACCATTACGTCTAGGGATGGATGCATGATCCAGCTGAATTTAAATATTTCAGTACAATCTAAATGTAAGCTTCAGAATTGATCCATACCAGCGAGAAGACTTTTAAAGTATTCCGTTCAGACAGTAGGGGAAGCAACGTTACCTCTTCGTAACGCTGAGTGAGCGCAAGACGCTGGTCCTCAGTAATGTCCGGACGCAACACAGTCATTGTCTCGTAGCGCTGCAAGCCGGGAGGATACTGTCTGATTTCCCTTTGACCTAGGTCCATCCCCTCTCCAAACCCTTCAGTGTCCTCCACCATTCCCGACAAGGGATCCAAAGAAACAGCCCGCACAGACACAACAGCGGCCTTCCGGAAGCAGGCGCTCGACTTCGCCTTCAAAGTTGGCATAGCACCGAACATAGCGGAAGCTGAAGAGGCTGTCGACACCACAGCTGCATTGCTGCTACTACTGGAAGCATTCAGAGCACCAGCACCTTGCAGGGCAGCCACTGAGCCAGCTACCATAAGCGCCATTTCGCCCCGACTCCAAACTGACTCACACAACCTCACTCTGCAAAATTCACCAAAGCCTACACGACCTGAGGCATTCAACCACGCATTCAGCCGAAAATGCGCAAAAATCTCAATCGAATTGCAGCTATGAGAACCCCCGTTCTGGTTGTGGAAGCTGTGTCTCGAGAGGCAATTGCAGAGCAATTGTAAAACTGGGGGTCCCCCTTCAAAAGCGAGTGGGTGGATGAAGGGCGTATAAGATAAGGAAAACGGGAGGTCCTCGGTGGATAGGGAGGGTTGATGGATGAAGATTCGAAGAGATTCTTTATCTGTGATAGAAAGTAACAGAAAAATGGTTCCCGGCACTCTCTCATGTTGGGAACAGGATTGCGGTTCGTTACCCGAAAAGGCTACCCTCATCCGGGTATTGTGTTGTTATACCCTTGTCGTCAATTGTGCAGCGCAGTGAGTTGGAGAGGGTCTTCGATTCACGCAGTTGAAGACTGGCCCGTGGGGTCTTCCCTTCAAATTCTTTTAATTTTGTGTGCAACCCTTTGGACTATTGTGTGAACCCGTTGGAAGAACCTGAGTGATCCCTAGTCATCTGTTACTCTTTCATTATATTTTTAAATTTTTCATGGTTCAATATTTTGGATCCGAGTCCCTGCTCGGTATTTAGTCTCCAAGCTTTTCGCCTCTTTCTTTGGGTTGTTGGGTTTCCCATTATGCTACTAAGCATGGTAGATTAATATGATATTGCAGTTAATCTTCTAGAATTGTTGGTATTCTTATAACAAAGTGATCTTCTTGCAAGAGTGGTCGTAAATAGGCAAGAGAGTTATGGAAGTTGTGTTCTTCTAATTGGATCTTCTGTTTATATTTTTTAGAAGTTAAAAAAGTTAAATATTAATATAATGACACTCTAAGCAGTTTAATTCAATAGAAAATTTTATTATTTACAGTCAAATTTTTATTCTCAATTGTAGTATTAAAAATATAGATTTTGCATTACTAATTTGTATAACATGCAATGTGCATTAATGAGTTTTTTTTTTTTTTTTTTTTTTTTTTTTTTTTAAATTCTAAAGTAATATTATTTGAAATTATCTACAACTATAAAATTTGAATGTATTAAATGAAGCACACGTTTTAATAAATTATATTCTAAATCTATTTAATTTTTTTTAATCTCTTGTATTATTATTATTTTTTGAAACAAGATAAAAAACATTTTTACTATCATCATTAATAATGGATAACATATTGTTCTTCAATTATTAAAAATATTATAAGAGTTGTATCAGTGTTCACTCAAGTTCTAAATCAGATATTTAACTTTTGATAAATAAGTTGGAAATATATTTACTACAAATTTTTTTATCATAGAAACCAAATAATTTTAATATAGATGTGTATTTAATAGACATAAATAAAATTATTGGTTTAGGTTTTTGTTATCATTATTAATATTTGGAAATTTTTATTCACTTATCTAAAAATTTAGTAATTTATTTGATCTTAAAGAATCTTATTTTAAAATGATTTTAAAATATATACAAATGTTGATTTTAAAATGATTTTAAAATATATAATTATAGAAAGATAATTACTTATAAAGATGTAGAATTAAAGCTTGTCAATATATAAATATCATTGAATATAGATTTTAACATATTCTAAATAAATCCTAAATAAATATTATAATATTTTTTAAAAGTTTTAAAAATATTATATAAATATTAATATTTTTTCTATATTTTGAGAATTTAAAAATTATAAGGTTTTAATGCAAGAATGCTCTTCTATGAGAGGAAAAAATCAAAAAAAATTTTTATAAAGAGTAGAATTTGAAGAATAATAAAGTTTGGTGTAATTATTATTTGGAAGTTTTGAAATCTAAGATAGATTTATTGTTGAGTCTTTTGATTGCACTTCATTGTAAGAAAATAACTTTATTTTTAATTTGGTATACTTTAAACAATTTAATTGCAATATTTTGTTCTAAATATACTTAAATTGTTGAAAATGAGCAAATTTAGGTTATTTATTCATTTTTAAATACCAAAAAATTGCATGAAGCATGTATTTGAGATATTGACAAAAGAAACAACTTTAAAGTTCTACACAAAGTTTGAGCAAGATTTAATTTATATCTCCTAAAATATGAATTATTACAATAAAAAATAGAAAATTTCTAAAAATAAAAAAAATTATGTAAAAGATGTAATCTTATGTAAGATGCTAGTAGTCAAAGATTTAGCTCTTAGAATATGGAAGAACATAAAATATATGCTAAAGAATAATTCCACATGTTTTTTTTTGTACAACCTTATTGTTACTAAATATTGAGTTTTTTTTTTTTTTTTTTTTTTTTTTTTTTTTTAATAGATTATAGGTCCACTCACATTTTCTTATTGAAGTTCTTTAGAGTCTTTGTTATTGTGAAGAGTAGATCATGTTGTTGTTGTTGTTGTTGTTGATTTTAGAATTTAGAATCTCTTTACTTTTAATTTTAGATCTAGACCTAGATCTTGATTTGCTTTTACTTGTTATTAAGTACAATTTGAATTATTGCTTTATGTTTCACTTTAAATTAATTTATTGAAATAATAATATTACATTATTATATTAAATTAAATATTTAATAGACTACCTTTGTGATTTTATATATTACAAAATCTTAAAGTCCTCAAAACATCTTTTATGCTGCTTAAAAGTAATTTATAAGTATAGAAGTGATCTAAAAATAAAAAAAATAATTTGGAATATTTATTCATAATTTCTAAAACCAAATGTAAGAATGTTTTGAAAGTAAAAATAATAATTTATTCACCAAAATTGTATTTTAAGATTTTAAAGTAGTAATATCTTTTTATTGATTTTGAAAGCTTTAAAATTCTTTTTCTTAAACTTATTTGATATATCTTTCATTTAGATATAACTTTAAGTGAAGGTGAAGATATGGACATTAAAAAATTTAGAGAAGAAAATTACCACCATTAGAATGTTAAAGTAGATCTTTTGTTAGCTTCATTGGATCTTTGGGATATTGTAAGTGAAACTGAAGACCTTTTAAACATATATGTTAATATAAAGAAGAAAGAAGATGAAAAAAGAAGGCTTTTAGAATGATTTCCATTATTTTGGATGAAGCCAATTTTTTTGACATTGTTTCTTACAAAAGACTAGTAGAAGCATAGAAGTCTCTTCACAACATTTGTGAGAGTAGAAACCTTTCTAACATTCTCTTCATAAGGACAAAATTCTTTACATGTAAGATAGAAGAAGATGAAGACCTAATGATTCATATTAAGAAAATAAAGTCTCTTATAAATCAATTAATAATTATTGAAAAACCTTTAGAAAATGGTAATATTATCTTGAATTTATTTATATGCCTTTTTGAATCTCATAATATATCATATTATGGCATAGGAGTCCATCGAGTAAAAAGAATCCACCTTAAATTATATAACAACAAGACTTCTTCTTGAAGTGACCAAAAAGAAATAAAAAAGCATCAATAAAAGGATATGACTCTCTTTTGAAGATAAGGCAAAGATAGTTATTTCAACCAATGTGAAAATGTGAAAAGTAATAAGAGTACTTGTTTCATTTGTAGAAAAATCTGTCACTTTTTACAAAATTGCTATAAGATAAAGAAATGAGATAGAGAAGGTGCTACCAATACAAATGAAAAATATAGAGGAAACAATTATATATTCATGGCAAATGAAGGCACTTCCATAGGTGTCATATCTAAGTGGATTTTTGCTTTGGATACCATTGAGCTTTTGATTTTATATATATTTATATTTCATACATATAAAGATATATTTTAAAAATATTTTTTTATAAAAAATAATAATAAAATATAAGCCATTAAAATAGACACAATTATGGTAGATATTATTTCTAAAGGCTAGAGCAAGAAGATTAGATTGAAGGATATCTCATATATGTCAAAGATAATGTAAAAAACCTTTTAAATAAGCAAACTTGATTGACATAGATATTGAAAGAGGATTAGTCTATCTCAAGTGTCTAAGACCCTTCTAATCTATAGCACCATAAAACTTCATCACAAGGTGGGACAAATTGGACTAGAATAAAACTAAACAAAACTAAACAAAACTAAATAAAATGGGACACAGAAGATAAAACTGAAAAATCTGAATTAAAATAAAATAGAACAAAATAGAAAGATACAAAATTCAATTATATTAAGAAAAATGATCTGAAGCCATACTTGACTAAATATCCCAAAAGACCTTAGTTAGTCCTATTTATATTTTTTTCTACCACCTTGGACTTTTTAGAATATTTTTAGATGATGGACTCCACTTAGATAACCGCCTTTTATGGATTTGAGTTGATGTAGGAAGTGACAAGTTGGCGTTGAAGAATAACACATGATCACCATTTCAAAAGGTCTTGTATTGCTAATGATTAACTGCATATTACTTTTTTCAATTTTGTGTAGTAAGCATGTTGTGCCATGCCTCTTGTAAGGCTGTTATAAGCCATTGTATAAATTCCTTTGTTGTTGGGTTGTTGGTATCGACAATCAATAAAGAGTTGTTGGCATAATCAGATGATGACTAGTGTTAAGGAAAAATAGTGAATGATTGGTACTTGCTTGAATACCATCATTTTGAGTAAATTCCAAAGACATCAAGTATTCATTCCAATCATTATGATGAACCATCACAAATGTCCACAATATATCTTTTAAGGTTTGATTTGCATGCTCTATTTGTCCATTTGTTTGGAGATGGAAGGCTAAAGACATGACAAGTTGACAACCTAGTAGCTTAAATAAGGCTTGTCAAAAACTTCTTGTGAAGCATGGATCTTGGTCTAAAATAATAAAACAAGGTAATCTATAGTGACTAAAGACGATATCAAAAAAGACTTATGGAAGTATTGGAGCATTAATGCTTCAAGAATTGATTCACGAAGACAACAACCACGGTATATTTATGAGCCACTTGCGACAAATACATAATGAGATTTATAGTCATCTGCTCCAAACATGTCGTAGATAGCAAAATTGGCTATAATATTTTAAGACATGCTGCGTTGTATGCTTTATTATGTTGATATGACTCACACAAGCATACAAAAGCTTGAACATTACAATCCAAAGCTGTCTAAATCCATGTCCTTGAAATCCCTTATAGACTCTTCTGTCACCCTAGATATCCAAATATTAAAAAATCATGTCTCTT